GCCGCCGTGTACCTGTACGCCGCCTGGGACATCTGGCTGCAGGAGGTCAGGTCGCCGTACGAACAGGGCATGTTGCCCAGGCCCGTGGGGTCCATGCCGGCCCCCTGCAGGCAGCTGGAGTCGAAGCCCGCCTGGTTCAAGTACGAGTAGTCCATAATGACACACGCACACTATAATCGGATCAGAGCCTCCAATATGATCGAATTAACGGCGCGATTACTGCCAAAATCGCTAAGAGTTTTTCCGAAGAGACAGAACCGCGCGTGAAGACCCGACTGTCTGCTACGTCGAAATCAAATGATAAGCTTAATTCAATAACTCGGTTAGGGGAGGAACGAAAAACTCGACGTCGAGGGTGCAGGGCGGAAAAACGAGGGCGGAGACACCCTCCATGACGCCGGCGTCGACCAATGGCGGATGCACCCGCTCCCAAACGAACTCTGCGATTGGAAGGGCTATGCTACGTCATCGACCCTTCGAGCACGCGACTTCCGAGTGACAACTCGCACACACATATGAAGACTGAATATTAAATGCTAGTGTTTCATATTAAATTTGCATTCGGGAAGTCTGATCTCAGCTTTTTTTATTTTACTAGTCACATCAACAGTTGCTCACCCTTGCACTGGAAGGATTCCAGCCGAGAGATTTTTTGACACCTGTAGGACAGGATTCAAGACATCGTATTCATGAATGGGGTAAACAAATACGAAAACAGTCCTACTTGTAAACATTTGTGATGGTGACAGTGAACAAGGATTTTTCTTCAACGGAAGAAACTGAAATATCACAGTGTTTCGAAGTGATTTAAAAACAAAATACTGAAAAGTACTATAATAGTAGAATTAATAGATTTTTAAAACGGTTTTTTAAGTAGGTACTGTAATCAAGTATATTAGTACAATTTTAGTAATTTCAATTTTTTACAAGAAGTGATTCCACTTTTATAAGAAAAGAGGCCCAAAATTAATTAATGCTCCTCTAAAAAATGTCAAGACACATTTCCGTAAAAAATTAAAATTGCAAAAATTATACTAATACCTTTAACGTTTTACAAAATCGATTAATTCTACACATACACGGACACGTGTCAATATCACTAAATCTATTCTACAAACCGAAACACAAAAAATAATTTTTAAAAGTTTGTCTAGAATATGTACAAAGAACTAGTTAACAGCTACTAGTAATCCAATAAGAAAAGGTCCTGACCTCGGTTCGAATCTGAGTTTTGTTAATTGTAATAAATAGAAAGAAGATAAAGAAAATAATATACCTAAACAAACAGTAAGTTCACCTAAGAAGTACACAATACGTACCTACATTTGTTTTAAAACGCAAGACCAATAGTAATATTATTTAGGTAAGAAAACGAAAAGCTAGCAATATTATTATAAATCATAATACCTATAAATGCATTTTAATTAGAATTGACTGAATAGACTTCAATAATCTAAGTAACAAAAGACCAAATTAATTAATTAATAATTAATATAAGCAAGCGTAAAAAAGTTAGAATCCAAAACATGCCTTGTTTCTTTGTTTACAAAAAATGAAAGAAAAGAGAAAAGTAACACAAATATAAAATTATAAAACGTAAAGACAATGTACTAAGAATATACACTGTCAATTTTAAAACTTGCAATCTGCAATTTCTCTCAACTGAAAAAGTTATTAATAATCACTCAAAACCGTTTTGGTGGTTCCTAGGGGGAATTAAAATGATATGATAAGTGTCACACTGCCACCCACCCTTGAATATAATTAAAAAAAAAATAAATAAAATTTAACGTCTTCGTGTTTAAATAATTGGAAAAATGGCTTTACCAAATAGGCTGTTGTATGACATTTTTGAAAAGCGCTTGTTATGGGGTTTCCAACGATGTATCGCAAGTAGGGTCGTGCCATTTAAAATTGTGAACTTCAGGTGGCTGTGGCTTGAAGGGTGGGTGGAGGAGCGTCACTTACCATGCCATTTTGATTCCCCCTATAAACCACCGAAACGGTTTTGAGTGATCCTCAATAACTTTTTTTGGTTCTAGAGATATTGCCGATTGCAAGTTTTAACATTGACACCCTGTATAGAAATAGGGGCCTAAACAATTCAATTGTAATTAGGATTTTTCAAATCTCTCTGGTTATGTATGTACAGTAACTCTTTTGATTTTTTACAATTAAAATTTTCTGAAAGTATACTTTCTATTATGATAGTTATTACCCGCGTATGCATATCTGTGATGTTTGTAAACGTGATCATTATAGATCTCATAAGATGTATTTTTGAGTTTTTTACTTTTGTTAAAAATGAAAAATTAAAATGTTCAAAGAAAACGCTAAAAATTGATTTTAAATTACATGGTAATAATGTTTGTGGTTATTGATAAAATGTTTTGTTCATAAACTATTTATTCTGATGTTCTAACTCTCTGATTACAATAATAAATATTTTCATAAAACTAAGCATAAATGAAATTTTTTCTTTGTTTCCTTGGTGTTACATAAATTACATTAATTTATAGTGTGTTCTTTCTTATACTTTAAAATTTTACAGAAAAAATTCGATGTACAAAAGGCTTTATTTAGATAAGCGTCATGATTTTTCTTACTTTAGAGATCAGACGAGTACGTCTCCCATTCACCCAAAGTAAAATTTTCTTAAAAAATTAACGTATAACCTTTGTTATTTTTCTTTGTATATTTACTGTGACTGTGACATCTAAATATACACGCAAGTAAAACAAACTTGTTACCATTCTAATATTCTATATTTGTAAAACACAAAAATTTATAATTATATTACACTAGAGCAGAAAATTTTCTATAATTCTAATAAGCATAATTAGAGAGCATGAGCGCATAAGAGCAAATAAGATAGCATAAACATAAAGGCATGAGAGCTTTTTTATCATAAGATATCAAAACATCAAGTAACATTTTGTACTTTTTCTGCTCCTTGTTGGATCTTCTTACTATGTGAATAATGGATACGAACAATTTAAACCCGACACACCAAAATTTTATCTTAAACATATTATGCGTTTCAACCACAAAGTGGTGCATTATAGTTATAAAACTAACAACTAAAAAGATGTATTTTAATTCAAAATAATGAATTGAGTACAACATTGATTCGATTTTTCTTTTAGACAGTCTGTGAGTCTGTTAAAATTATAAATGTCTTCAAGCTAACCCTCTACATGGAAGAATCCCATTTTGCATTTCCATATTCAAATGGTTTTGATTCACCTCTCGACTTGTTGCGTTCCAGTTCCATTCTAAACGCAAAATAATTCCATACTAATTTCAATAATAATCCGTTAATGTCGTCGAAATGTTCAATTATCGGTCTGATCCAGTCATGTGCCATTAAGTTATTGTTCACTCTATTCTCACAGCACCGTCTGCGCAATGGAGGAGAAAACTCTTTACGTAACAATAAACAGATGATGAGGGAAGAGCTTGAATCGATGCGACGTCCTGCTTTTAATAAGCCTTATTATTTCATTATTTGTGTCTTGGCTCGATTCTCAGTGAATTCTTCTCGTTTTGATTTACTGCAGGCAATTTGCTTTTTATACACTCGCAAGTAATTACAAGCCGCCATTTTCGAAGCGAAAAAATCAATTTCCGCACTGTGTCATCACACGATAATTGTGCGCTGGGTTAGCAAACAAAGCCCAGGAGAATTCCGGAGCTGTGACCGGAGTCGGAGACTCCTTCCCATCGTAAACATCGTGTGGAACAAGCCGCAGGTCCTGCTGCTGCAGTCCTAACAGTCGCCTCTCTAGGGGAATCCTCGACCCTCATATACCCATATAGCGCAACGCACAATTATTTAGGGACCTTCTTCGACGTCTAATCCAATATTTACATTAAAAGATTTATGTGCGAAATAAAACTTTTGTTATTTGGACACGATAAAAACAAAATTCGTCTCAAAAAATTTATTTATATCAAATTTGTGTTATAAATACGATGAATAAATTTTGCCACTTCGTGTTTTCCGAGTTGTCCGAGCTCTTTTGCGCCGCCTGCCAATTTTAAGATTTCGATCTTGCCAATCGCAATCACCATAACCCTTAAATTTGTCTTGTTCATCTTTTTTATTTTCCATTTTGTCAGTTAAATTATCACCATCTGATTTGATGCTGTAAACACTCGGGGTCCCCTCTTTTGTAATTGTTCGTTCTACACTTGTGTCTTTGTTACATCTGCATTTTATCGTAGAAGTACTTTTCGAAGATAACGAACAAGTAGATGAACACTGATTACGAAGCATTTCTAGTGAATCTTTTGTTGCCGCTAAAAGATTGCTTCTGCATCTACTTCTTGATCTGTGCGACCGAAATTTTCTTGCAGGTAACCATCTGTGATCTTTAAAATTACACAAAGAAGAAGACTGTGATCTACAAGATGTGGAAATTGAGTTTTGTCTAATTCAGTCTTGTTCAACATACTCATTTTTATGAATTCGTCCATCCAAAATTTTTGATCTTCGGTTATTTGCATTTGTATAACTGACTTCAATTTTTTTATTTTTTACCAAACGATTATATAGGTAGTAAAGAGTACCGGAAATTATAATAATACCAGTGGAAGGGGGTATAGTCGGACTTTTTTCAAGAGGTGCTTGAATCTGAAATAGACTTTGAAGAGAGTGAAAATTTTGAAATGGAGCTTACGGCAACTATAAACCTGTCTAGCAAACCTCTAAGCACTACTGTTACCACTGCCACTGCAAAATTAGCCGAAATCATGCTTTTAAACCATATTTATTTTAGCAAAATTTCACACTTCAAATTTTCTCCACATGTCAATAAAGCAAAGATGAGTAGATTGATAAATAATTTTTGATGTTTCATAAATCATCAACTTGTGAATGGGTGTAAAACTAGGGGAGTGGAGCTACCAAATGCACAAAAGCCACGTGACCAACTCAAAGACTGATCAACTGAAAGTTTGCTTACCGCAACACTACAGATGGCCTTTTGAACAGGGGTGAAACGATTTTATTACCCTAGTAAGTGGCACAAAATTTATTTTCAATAAAGACACTTGTCCGGGAGTGCATGATACATGTGGTAGCTAATGACACGAAAACTGATTTAATTAAATCAGATGAAGTGATTAAAATAATCACAAATATTTTATAAATTAAGATCGGAGAAAAGTTTTGTCAATTCGAAATGGAAGAAGTGAAAAGTAAACAGCGTGATAGATGTTTATTATAGAGCGAGGCGGCCATAGTTAGGATGGTCCCTGGAGACTCCGGGATGAATCTTAGAGGTGGAGCGCTTCTTGGACAAATTGCCCGGAGCGGAGATCGGGGACCTGAGACAGGATCAGAACGAAGGGATGCGGCGATATTCCACCAAAAGCCAACTCACGCTGCGCTTTCTCAAAACACGACAAAAACACACTAACCAAAAGACTAACAAACAACTTTTTACTATATGATTGATGTATTTGATATTATATTGATTTGATTATTTACTTACAAATGTCATTATTAAAAAATAAAAAACCTAATTTTTATATTATTATAAGCATCAGGATGTGTTCTGATAAAATATTTATTGTTTTACAAACAAAACACTTTTTATATTATTTTTGTATTTACTGTACAGGGTGTCCTAACATATCTCCGTCGCTATAGAAATTTTTAAAATAAATATTATGTTCAATACTATTTGCCACTTTTTACAAAAGGGAATTAACTGGCAGTTGAGGTAATATTTTGTTTTTGTCACTGTTTGTTAATGAATTTTTCGGCTAAATGTGTTACCATTTGACAATAGCCATTGTCTCCGAAAATTTCAGTCAAATTCTTTTTAATTTATTCTCACTGATTCTTGTGTTATCAGTTATCACTCTTGAAAATCAAATTTGAAAACTTATAAAATAGGTGGCTACCTAAACTGGCTAGTTAAACAAAAAATTGATACATAGAAAAAATTTGTCTAACTATGAACTACTTTTTAGAAAAACTAAATAAATACAAAATTTTAAAATTAGAAAATTTTTATTTTTTAATGGTAACTGAAATTACAATAAAATTCTCTATACAAATTGAAAAAAACATTTTTTTTAGTTTTTCTGTCATCGACTTAAGAAATGTTGTTTTTTTAATAAAGCAAAAAATAATAAGACAACATTTTCAGGCAGAACATAAGAAAAGACATAAATTTTTATAGTAAAATTTAGACAGGTATGTAGGTATGTTCAAATCGATTTTTTTTATTGCACATGACTTTTCTGCTTATTTTTTTTACAGTACAACTGAAAAATATTTTTATTTTTTGTTTACTGTAATAACAAAATACTAACAGAGAAGTTATAGTTGGAACATTCTGTGTACAAAATAATGTAACGGCGGTGTTGAAGTTAATTAAATTATGGTTCTATACTGCTCAACTACTTTAAATATTGGTGCATATGCTTTTTAATGCTAAATAATTGTATGCTTTAGTACAAAGCTAATTAAATACAAAACGAACCTTTTTTTTAGTATTTATATCAAGGATCTGTCTTAATATTTTTATACCTTCTCTGAAAAAATAAGACTACACTTTGTGTGCATTTCCTTGAGTGTTTTTATCCATCTTTTCCGCGAATTCTGCTTACGCCAATGAACGGCGAAATGTCAATAAGCGTTGTGCCCCTCGAGACAAAAGTCAATATTGTCGCTGTTCAATCCGTAAGAAGATGGTTTTGGGAGGCGTTTAATAATTGACCGGAGTTGGAACGAAAAAGCTGATTTGTGCGTGGTGGAACTGCTGGCGATCCTCTTTCCGGTGCCAATCCGGAACAGACACGGACTCCTGTCCCGAGGCAATGAGGACAATCAGTCTCTCCCCTGTTCTTATTTCGTCGGAGATATTTGTCTGGCCGGAATCTGCTCTTGTGCGGAGTTGAGACTCATTTCTAGACCGTTTTCATCCGTTCTATTAGTCTAGATTGTAGTCGGTCGGGCGGCACTCTTGTCTTATTGCACACACACAAACTTACCAAACACACACACATACCCGCGTCTCTGTCGATTCTCCACACACTGTGCTTTCTGCTGATTGCTTAGGGTACACAAATTGTGCAATAAGCTTTTTCATTAAATGAATTATGTGTTTTGTTGCTGCTTTGCCGGATTCCGGACTTTTTTCCGCTTTTTCACATATCCTAACTTAATGGACCACTATGTCTAGCACTGGTTTTCATCCAAAATAGACAAAATCGCCAGAAATCAAAAGCAGTGACTTAATTGCTTAATGACGCAAAGCTCGGTTTCGATTTCGCAAAGCTTCTACATGGCTAAACCCTTAAAACGAACAATTTTGTCGGCCGTACCTTCCAACCCTTTAATCGATGTTTATGAAATGAGGCTTCAGATATTAACGCTATTATAGTCTCAAATTGCTTCTTATCTTATTAAGAGCCATGAACAGCCGCATTAACCGTCTAATTCGCTTTTACATTCTAATTAAATTCTAGGCTTGAAACTCTTCTTCTTAGTTTCTTAATGCATTCTACAATCATGGTACTAATTTCAACAGTAAGACCCCTTCAAAAATTTATATTCTCATTTGCTGTTTTTATCATGATTACATCAAGAAAAATAAGTTTAACTTGTTTGTTCAGTATTGAATGACGTTCTCATCCGCCCATTACAATCATTATCCACTTTGGAGGTTTGATTTCAATAGGGCCCAAATGTACAAACGCTCATCAGATATGATCTCATCTAGTGCCACGTGACTCGACAGTCAACTTTTTCGGCACGTGACCGACGGACGTCATCTACACATTCAAATTGTCCCATAATCTAATTTGATGAGCCATTGATTTTTACTTCGGAAATTATTTTCTCCACTACGCCCCTTACACCAATCTTAATACAAAAAATCGATAGATTAAGTTTAGATATTTATTTTGTCGTACATTGTACAAAATTTCCTTTGTGGTAGGCAACCAAATATACACTTGCAATACGCATGCGTGCGACTAATTTTTTATTTTCATAAACAGTTGTCAGTGTCAAGATCGAAAGCACATGTTTGTGACAGAATCAATTCAATTAGCAATCACAAAAGGTAAATTAAAATTAAAGCATACTAATTAATAAATTTGGTGTAATGCGCCATGACTTGCGTATCATTTTCTGTAATCATTGATCAGTTCAGAGGTTATCTCTAAAAAACCAGTCAAGTGGAGAAAACTAGTTTGAACCATTTAATATTTTTTATTTATATCAGTGTACAATCACATTTATGTATCACACAACAAAATAAAATAACAAAAACACCAAAACAATACACTATTATTAAATTCCCTTTCTAATTTCATCACCCATCAGCTACTTTTTCGCCTTTAAAAATCGCTTGTATAACATTGATTTCGTCATAACTTTGTGCTATAATAAAGTGTTGGTTGTCTCCACCCATAAACAGGTTCATGTATAATATTTTGGGCAGAGTTGACGCTGCGAGGGCTAATTTGAACCCGGCGATGCCCTCGTACCGGTAAACAAGTAGGGGTTGGGTCGGATTGTCCGTAACGACGTATAAAACCAATTCATTTGATGGTAAAATTGAAAATTCGACTTGGATAGGAGCGTCTAGCTCCAGGCTTTGCCAGGGGACGAATTGGAGTGACAATTCGTCGAATTTTCGGATTTCAACTCTTCCAGAATAAATCGCGTTTTGTAAATGACCACAAGCTATAGCCAAATAGTGAAATCCATTATACGAAGCTGTGGCAATACTTCGCGGTTGGGCTTCAAACATTGTTTGGTGGATTTCAAAATAGCCAGTGTTGTTATTCAGGCGCCAAAGGTCGATTTGAGACTCCAAACCCTCCCTAGGTTCGGTGATAATGGCCAAATATAATGTTCCCTCAATTGTTTTCGATGTTCCCTAGATTTTGATTGAAAAATCGAAATTGAACATTTTTTACTCACTTTAAGACCTATTGAAGAATCCAATGATTGCAAAAGTTCAATACTGCCCTCAATTTCGCAGAAGATCTTTGGGGCACAATCATCATAAATAAATAGAGTACAATTGGTCCCTGTATAAGGTAGTACAAATGAAGCAGTAGATCGCGTAAAGTTTGTAGGAATAGTCAAAGTGTTTTGAAATACAGGGCGTGACATAAGAGTGAAACTTCCGGTCCCTAAAATAAAAAAATTACAATTTAGTTACTCTGATATGTAAAAATGTACCGTTTTGTCTTTCCATGTAAAGGTAGCGCCCCGAAAATACCTGGTCTATGTACACTAGAGGTTCAGTGAATTGTATAATTCCTGAAAAAAATTATTTGTTGGGTGTTAATTCCACCAGTTTTAACTTACCGTTATTTAAGAATTGTTTTTCGGGACTCCAACCATACAAATCCATTCTTAGGCCATCCTCGTCTGTTACTAAAGAACCAATTCGGAGAATATTATCTGAGCAAAATATCATCTTGCTCTCTTTTACCCGGGGTATTATTTGGATGGTTTTGTAATGATGCATGAAATAAGCTTGACCTAAGTGAAAAATTAGATAAAAAAGTTTGTACGATTTTTTATACCTTTGACCGAATTTTCAAGTTTGTAAGTCATGTCCAAAACCTTGTTGTATTGTTCAAGTAAATTGTTCAACACTCCTAAATTAGTGACATTCATAATCAATTCAGTCATGTTTAACTGTTGGTAGGTTTTTTTTATTATCAAATTATTTGTAGTAATATTGTTAGCAAAATTGAGTCTTGTTTTAAAAATATTTTCTTGATTTTTGTACGCCTAGAAAGAAATATAAAACCTTTAATTTTAAGTGTGAGTATAATACCTGGTCGTTGATAAGTTTCGAAAGATCAACATCGTTTAATAACCCCTTCAATTTGATACTTTTGAACATGACTGAATTTAATTGACTTGTATGAATAATTTTTTTCCCGGTTATTTCTTGAGGTATGTTTGTTACCATAATATTTTTTGAATCAAACATGTGATCATTCAACTTCCCTGAAACCCTAATAAAATTGAATTAATTTGGAACCAAATTAATATAAAATAATTACTGAAATCCGTTGGCGAAATTGGCATTTGTGAAACTTTTATCCGCCGTGATATTGAAACTAGTGGTTTTGAGAACCGAATTTTTGAACCACTCTAAGACATCAACATCTTGTATTTTGATATTTTTCTCTAATTTCAAGTAATCGACATTCAGATTTTCGAAAATTTTTGTACCAGTAACCATGTTGTCCTTATCGTATCTCATAACATCGGTTTCTAGATCCAAATTATTTACAAGAAAGTCTCCATTTAAATCTGAAAATAACGATTATATAATAAAAAAATAAGGAGTTTTAGTAATTATACTCTCAATAACGCAGTCTTCTATAAAAACTACAGTTTCAAAAATTTGTTCGTAATCATTTAGTAAAGCCGTTTTAACAAATTCGTCCAAATCAATGTTATTTAATCGCCCGTTAAGTGATATTTCGGGAACTGTTACATTATTTTCAAAAATTAAATCATTTTCGAATTTGAAAGTGGCCGTAATGTTTTGATCTTTGGATTTGCTGAAGTAGTTTTCATAGAGGAGATTCAAACTGATGTTTTCAACGTAACCCTAAAAGTTAAATTAATTTTGAGGTATTTTAGAGCGAAATTTGAACTTACTTTAACATAAATATCATTTTCGAAAATTATATCGTCGAAATGAACAGAACCGGTCAAATTGACGTCTCTATCCTTAAACCAAGCTCTGTTTCTGATTTCGTTTATATTCACGTTATTTATTTTTCCAATATTTGGTCCCATGGCAAAATAAACATTTCCTGAAAAAAAGTTAGCAAAAGAAAGACTAAAAACCGATCAAATACCGTCAATAGTGACATTTCTGCCTTCGCTTTCTCCCATACTAAATTCACAAAATTGTGTTACATTGATTCCGTTAAGGAGACCATCCAAAACAAAACTTCCATTAATTGTGACACTATTTTTGAAATTTTTTTCACCAATAATTATCAGTTCTTTATCAGAATTCGGCAGTAATGCATTTTCGAAATCAAAATCTTCAATGTGGCCATTAAGACTTACCCGACTTCTTGAAATAACTTGAGATTCTACAAAACTATGATTAAGAGAAATTAATGTCGGCAAACAAAGTTACCAAATGTAGCAGAATTAAACTCGAATGGCTCATCCAATTTGACTGAATTTTCAACTAAATCTTCGATTTCAACCTCACTTATTTTATTTGAGGCAATATAGACGTTACCGAAAACCACTACAGTGTCCAAATTCAAATTTTTTGGAATTATTGTATGGTCTGTGTTGTTTTCATTTCCAAAAATTTTCTTGTCCACACCATTGAACTCATTTTCGAAATAAATGTTTTCAACTTTAATATTTGTGAGATTTATGGGTTTGTCAATTGTGAGTTTGTCAATTTCGGCAAGATTGTGAAGAGTGATACCATTTTCGGTATGCAAGTTGTTGATAGTGAGTTTATTAAAATTTTTGTGACCACCAATTAAACGATCAGAATCTTTTTTAACTGTATCATTGACAATTTGAGTAAAATTTAAATTGTTAACTAATCCTTTGACTGTAATTGACCCAGTTTTGATTTTGTCCACTTTCAAATCCCTATTTATTACAACATTTTCGGAACTTGTTTGATTTAAAGCTTCGTTAAATTTGGTCTCATTACTTGAAATTCTACAAAAAAATTTGAGTCAAAATAAAATCACATCGACAAACTTACTTATCAGCTATAACATGCTTGATATGGTGTTTTCCTTCAATCTCCTGATCGCCGTTAATCCTCAAAACTTTATTTTCCAATTCCTCAATTTCAACATCATTGATTTTGATTGCATTAGTGCCCCCTGTAACGCGAACATCTCCAAGAAACGTTTTCACACTTTGGATAATTTGTGATTCCTCAGTTCCAGTCACGACAAAATCATGAGGATTTTTCCCATTTAAAGTATCAACAAAAATCTCATCAATATTAATCTGTTGCACGAAGTGTAAATGCGGCTTCACTTCTTTACTAGTTAATTTAAGACCATCAGCTTCGAGCCAAGTTAATGAATACGTGCCATCTGTAGTGACGATGTCTTTCACACTAACCAAATTTTCGATTTGGACATGTCCTGTAATTGTTTTTGGGCCCGTGAGCACCAAATCATTCTCGATTGTAATCAAAGGATTCATTTTTTCCAAATTTTTGCTTTTGACGTGCCCTTGGAAATTGATAGCGTGGTAGATGATAACGTCGTCGAAGATTTTCGCACCGGTTATTTCCTGTTCCTCTCGACTGTCTTTCAAAAGAATATCAAGCTTACCATCAAACACTTCAATTCCGTCTAGAGACTTCGAGACCTCTAAATCATCGACGAAAAGATCATTTTTGAAAATAATTTCACTATTAAGTGAATAATTGCCACTATTTGCGGATATCAAATCTGATACTTTTTTGCCAGAAATTTCCCCAAACACCTCCAGATTTTTCCCTTGAATCTCATCAAAAATAAACTCGGATGTTATTTGTTGATTGCCGGATTTTTTCAAAGCATATTTGTCCAAAGTTGGAACATCTACATTATTTATGTAACCACCAATAGTCAAATTTTTCACTTTTAGTGTTTCCAAATGTGAAATGATTGGTTCCTGCGTCGGTGTTCGTAAATTGGCCAAATCTTGGCCGTTTAGTGATTTTGCAGTTATTTTATTAATTTCAGCTTCTTGTAACACTAATGGTTGCGAAAAATTTTGATCACCGGACTTTAGCAACAAACTTTTGTTATTTATAGACATGTTGTTGAGTTTTCCTTCAACTTTTATCCCCTTAGGTGCAGATAAATTACCTTGCACTTTAAGATTTGTTAAATTTAAGTTGTCGGAAGTGTGAAGAAGAGTCTGAGGATCTCTTGCATTGATCGCATGTGCCTTAAGAGATTCATCGGTGATAAGTGAGACAAAACTCACTTCACCTAAATCAAATCCTAGCTCAATATTCAGAGTATTTTCCAATAATTTATTTGTTTCAAAGTTATTAATCTTGTCAGTGACCAAATTTTGGATAAAAGTTGAATTATTGAAGATAATTACTTCAGCACTGATTTGTTCAGGTTTATGAAACACGTTCAGTTGATCCAGCAGTGAGTTCAATGAATCAATTTGTGAATTAAGATTTTGTATCTAATGTTTAAGATTTAAGTTTTTGCAAAATGTTGACACAGTACTTACCTCTGTGTTTTCTTTTTCTTCGTCAATATCAGCCCTTTCGGCCTCACCCAAAACCTCGTCAAAAACATCTCCATTGACCATTTCTTCAATTTTTGCCAATCCACTATCACACCAAGTGCTCATATCGGCATAAATTTCATTTACGACATTTAGATGAGTAAATTCCAACCGAAAGATGTTGGCCGTTTTGCCTTTGTTGTTTTTACTCGAAACGACTAAATTTTATTTGAGTTACCCCGTCAAAAAAATAAAACTTACCTAAAGCGTAACTATTATTAAATTTGGCAAAACGTATCGACTTTATTCCGGCACTTCTGACCAAATCCACCGTTTTTTGAACAGTTTCACTGAAAGACCAGCCATCGTATTGGAAATATTTGAGGCCATCAAAAGCCGAAGTTGCAATAAGAGCAAACTCGTCGTCCTCACCCTAAAATTTCAGTAATAATTTTGAATTTTCGGTAATTGCAACCCACCTGTATTGGTAGCCACTGCTGAATTCCATTCAGACGGAAAGTTTGAAACGGGATAAAGTAATTGTCCACATATTTATAAATTATAGAATCAGTTGCATAATTTATATTACCATCAGAATCTAAAAAAATTGAGGATGTTTGTAATTGGAAACAGATTTTACTCGTTACCTTTGTCGTAGAAGTTGGCAACAATTAGAAAGGTGTCCTTTTTGTGATCATCTTGTGATAAAGTGAAGACTTTAATATCACTACAAGCCTTTGTGAGAATACTTTGATACAAAACATATTTTTCTAAGTGATAATCGTATTTGTGTATTTCGGAATACACTCGAGTATTCCCTTGGTTGTCCCTAAAATTCGCAATAGCTAAAAAATTCACATGATCGACTTTAAACGGCGTAATTTTTCGAGTCCCTTTGCTTGCAATGTTTTGCACCAAATCAAAATGATTCCCCAACCATTTGTAAACCGGTATTTTGGCCTCGTATTGAATATGACCGCTTTGATTTGTCATAAATTGTGCGAAGGACATGTATACTTCATCGTGTATCTTCCACAAAGTTATATCATTAGCATAATGCATATCAATAGATTGGATTTTGCTCAGTCGGGCCTTATCAAATTGATAAATTCCGGATTTATTGTGAAAATTGTCCCTGGAGGTATCATTTTCAGCCACGGCTATCAGCGTTGAGTTTCCCAAATCGATAGTGGCAAGTTTGACTCCATTTTTGACGGGGGTTCGAGCTCTTTCATTGAAAGTTTGATTCTCAAATTTGAAGATGACTAAATAATTGGCATTTTCTTTAACATCTGCACTTTCTAAAGCTGCAGCATGCCAGTGCGAATTTTGCTCAAATAGAGTTAGATCGAGAGGAAATCGGACCGGAATTGTAGCTGATGGTGTGACGTTAGACAGGAGATAAGTTCCTACAAAATAAATGTGATTTCAGACATGGACCCCAGCAAAATCAAGGAAAATTTGGAAAGCCAGTTGTCTGAATTGGAAACTCTCCAGTCGATGTACAACCCGGGGGAACTCCGAGTTGAAGATTTGAATGTCTTGGCAGACATCAACGCTTTTGTTGACGGTCGTACGTCCGATTTGCCCGCGTATTTGGATTTAACGCTCAATCTTTCAATCGATAAGCAAAAATTCGAGTTGTGTATAAATCTCTCGCACGAGTATCCCGATGTCGAACCTGATATCTTCGTCCGTAATCACAAATTGAATAAAAAGCAGCACGCAACGCTAAATAAGGATTTGACCGAGTACATTGCAAGTTTAGACCGAATGCCTTGTATTTTTTCGGCTGTAACTTGGTTACAAGACAATGCTGCTAACTACATTATTGTGGAAGAAGTGGACGAGCAACGAATCGAAAAAGATGAGACTCTTGTCAGATACTGGATCTACTCTCACCACATTTACAGTAAATCAAAACGGCGTGAAATCCTCGATTTGGCTAATACTTTAAATATAACCGGGTTTTGTATGCCCGGAAAACCCGGAATTATCTGCGTGGAGGGAACGAAAAGTGACTGTACTGAGTGGTGGCAGACTATCAAAGCGATGAATTGGAAACGGATTTTTTGCAAAATTAGTGAAGAGTGTAAAGATTCGGGTGAGAGTTTTTTAAAGTTTCGGACTTTTGAGGAACGGGTGTTCCAGAATTGTAATGTAAAGTGTAATCATATGAACATGGGGGAGTTGTTTAAGTTTCTAGAGGATCATCAGTGTGGATACATTTTTAAGGACATTTTTGGGGTCGAGGCTAAGGCTAGCTCTTAAATGATTGTATAAATAATAATGTAAAAACTCACCTTTTATATTTTTTGTAAAATTATCTAATAAACTGCGTTTTTTCTTATTAGCGTTTCTTTCCCCAAAAGTTACCAGTTTTACATAATTTGATATTTGTGTCTCTATGAATTGCTTCGATTTATCGCTCAAGTTATTATCAGCTACAATTGTAATTTTGATGCAACATTTTTTGGTTTAAAAGGCAGGTCATACCTAGCAATGCAGGGTCGGCTTGTAGATTATCAAAAAAATTACTTGTAAGCACTTGAAAATCATGACTTGTCACGTAATTAATCCCTGCAATTAGCAGGAATATCATAAACCACATTTTTAACACACAAGACGTACTACAAATCAGAAATAACTATCTTTCCCTCCAATTCAAAGATAAGTTTTTGTGAGGATAAATAAAAACCACCAAAAAAATTTAAAAAGAATTTATTACTCCTACTATCTAATTGTTGCATATTGTTGAAATTCTACAGTAGAAAAATTTAAAAAATTGTCAATTGCTAAGCCTTGATTTTCTATTGGACTATAAATTTTTATTTGTCTCATATGAGTATCCCTCCCATTTTGATGATTACTAGTTACAGCAATCTGTATCATGAAAACTCTAATGGGTTTATCTCTAATGTCCTTGATGGGAATATGTACCCATCCTGACGGTTCCGTGAGCATAACAACTTCGATTTCTTGCAAATCGTTGAAGTGGCTTCCCACTCTGATTGATATGCGACTGGGGGTGTAGCTTTCATCTAATTTATAGTCTGTATAGATATAAATATCACTAATTGTGGTTTTTCTTTGGAATTGCACGTTAACTAAATGAGGTAATTGGCCGTCGGATTGCCAGTACGTGTCGTCACGGTCATCCCTTAGCTGATCAACGCCAAAACCTGGAAATTTAAGCTAAAGCAAGAGTTAGCCTAACCTCAAATTACCTGGCTTGCAAGAGGATAAGCTCCAAATTGCTTGCGACCCCACTTCGCGGACATTCCCGCTTCGTTCATTTTTAATCGGATCTACATCACTCGGCGGTTTTGAAGCCATTTTAAACATTAAATTGTCTGTAATTTTAAATTTGGTAAATAAACAAAGCTGTCATTTAGGGCTGTCACTTGTCACTTGCAGTGCTTACAGTTTCCTACAATTACAGAATTCTAGTTTTAGATTAACCTCAAATGCTGATTAAATACGTTGAATAATTTTAGTTTTTATGACAAATCTAAAATCGTTTAAAATGTCAGTTATTTGAGAACAATAAATAAAAACATGGGGCCATAAAAAATGTATGCAAACTTAATATTGGCGGCAAATTTAAAATTTAAATTCGAAATCGTCACTCTATAATCAGAATCACAGACCCCCCACTACAAACGTATTAAACTTGCTGAGGCAAGAAAAGTCTTATCTATCAGTGTTTAGTGGGTTAAAAGTGATTTTAAGTCCAAATTCAGTGAAAATGACTGTCCGATAAGATAAAATCAATATTTTGGAAATCTCAAAAATTAGGGTATTTACTCAAAAAATTGTTAAATCACCGTCTCAAAGATGAATTTCGCACAAGGTAGGACAAAAAACTGTTTTTCCTCAATTAAGTTTTTTTATTTTGTAGCTTGCTCCCATAAATTTGCTTTGTACCTTTATAAGAACAATCATCTTGATAATTTTTGTATTGAGAAGGAACAAGCTAAAAAGCTTTACAATGAGAAATTTAAAAGTGAAAATAAAATTAAATTGAATTTTGGAACCGTATTTCATTTTACTATTAAAATGCTTACTCGACAAAAAAATCTTAATATCATGTTTTATAACAAAAACAGGCTGTTCAACTTGTTGAAAAAAGAAGGACAAATTGGTAAGTAAGTAATTTGCAATTAATTACACAAATAAATGTTTTTGTTTTATAGACACACGTTTGAAAAGTAATAATGTTAAGAAAAATACAATTGTTAGTCACAACCTTTCTTTCAACAAGAAACAACAACTTGAAGAAATTCTGCTGTCTCCACAAGAATGCAAACTGTGTAATGTCAAATTTGATAAGCAGAATAAATTTGAAGATCACATAAATAAGAAGGAGCACACCTTTTCTGATTCTCTTAACAAGGCTCGTAAGTATTTTATTTTTCTATTAATTTTAAAAATAATGAAATATTTATCTTGAAACTAATAATTATTATCATTCAAAAGGATTTTCCTCTATGTAGTTAACTATTTTCTTGTATTCTACATATGTATCTATTGATTCAATATAATTGTCAGTTGATAAAAGATAATGTTTGATTTGTGATATCTGTGATAAACGTTTAAAAGTTTTTGATGTAAAAACAGTTTATTCAGCTCATTGTACATAACAATGGTATTTGCTGTATCCATTAATTTGCATTTTTATTATACTCTACATTATTCTTTTTACATAACCGGATTTTAATTAACTAACACCTAACATTTGTAGTTAATAAGTAATGTAATAGTCGATTTTTTTATAGTGAAAGAACGTAAAGAAGTACTGCTTGAGTTTGCCGTTGACGTTTCTCCAGTTTTGAATAACTTAATAATTCGTAAAAATGTCTCAAAAACATTCATTTTGCAAATAAAAAACTCGGGCAAAAACTCCGTAAAAATAACAAAGATTTGGACCAAAGACAACTTAGAACAAGTAAAATTTCAACACACGTGTCCTTACGAAGTATCACCTCTCCAAATCATACAATTGGAATTATTAGTTCACAATCCAGATACGAATATGCTGTATTTTCCTGTTTTATTTACTGTAGAGACTGTGCGAGGAAATCAACAGTATGCTATTGAATTGGTACGATTTTTTTAGCCAAACATTGTTTGTATATTAAGCATTTCTCTAAGGTCTTTCATACACACGATGAATCTTTTGATGACCTGCATCCAGTTGAACCCTATAAACGTGCCACTAAACCAGTTTTCGAAGAATTTGTTCAAGAAATAGACAAGGGTGAACGACCAGATATGTAGGTATTCCACCGATATGACTATTTTACACTGATTTTTTTTTAAAGATTTCCTCAAAGAAAACTCAAAGTGCCTTTAAATAATTACCGTTTGCCTTTTGATATTATCGGTTGTTTAAATGCAGGTTTGAAAGAGTTTGCCGGTATGACTTCCTCGCAACATGGACAATTACTTTATTTGAAGTAAGATGCACATTTTCTTATCCTAAATCTAGAAAAAAATTGTAGAAATTTACTCAATGTTGAGAACAAACAAAATTGTTTGGCGCCTAGAAATTACACGAAAATGTTAGATATGCTTCTGTATATCGAAGAACATCAGATGTTGAAAGATATCAAGGATTATAATCGAGAGGACCAGATTTTGAAGAAGGTTTCAGGTGGCATGTTTGAACTTGAGGTTTTTTTTGTTTTTTTATTTAACTAAATTTAATAATTGTGTATTAAGGTTCCTGGACTGGCAGAGCATCGCCCGTCTGTTGTTTTCGGCGATGCTGTGTATGTGAGAGAAAACAAAAATAGTAAAATCCTATTTGAAGGATTTGTTCACAAAGTTAAAGAATCAAGCGTTTTACTAAAATTTTCTCGACGGTAAGATATTGCTCATTGCAATATAAGTACAAACTTAACACGTATCTATAATAGATTCACCAACGAGGTTTTCATCAAAGGAAAGAAATTCTACGTCAGTTTTACTTTCAACCGTTACCCAATAAGAGTTGAACATCAAGCTGTCGATTTTTGTCGAATTGATAACATCGCACATTTGCTGTTTCCAGTAAAAATTCCTAATTCACCAATTTCTAGCACGCCTCTTGTTTGGTTTAACAGAAACATTGAGGGTAACACCCAGCAACAACAAGCAGTACGTGCTGTTTTACAAAAAAGTGCGATGCCAGCTCCTTATTTGATTTTTGGACCCCCTGGAACCGGTAAAACTATGACGGTAGTAGAATCTGTAAAACAGATTTATAAAAAAGGCAACGAGAAAATTTTGATTTGTACTCCTTCAAATAATGCAGCAAACGAAGTGACTAAACGTTTGATTGACACAATTCCGACCACCGATCTGTTCAGATACATTGCTCCTAGCTTTCCTTATCATTTAATACCCAAGGAGATCAAAAAATATATCAATTTTCCTGCTGGTAACTACACTTTACCTACGATTGAAGAATTTACAAAATACCGAATTGTGGTCACAACATTGACCTCAGCTGCAAAATTAGTTAACGGTGGTTGCCCGCAGGACCATTTCAATTATGTGTTTATTGATGAAAGTGGACAAGCCACAGAAACTGAGACTTTGGTAGCTATAGCCAGAATTTTGACCAGTAATGCCAAACAAGGGGTTGTTTCTGGTCAAATTGTTTTGGCGGGGGATCCCAGACAACTTGGGCCAGTGATTCACTCGACTTTAGCCAAAGAATACGGTTTTGGTAAGTATTTATCACAATATTAATCTAAATTAATAACTTGCAAAGACACCTCCATGTTGGAACGTTTGATGGACACTTGTGATTGCTACAAAAAGAACAATAACTTGAAGAACTACAACCCCAGCGCTTTGACTAAACTTTTGAAGAATTACCGATCCCATAAAGTCATTATAGAGCAACCAAAAAAATTGTTTTATGACGATGAATTGGAATCGGCGGGTGATAATTTAATAAACGCTGCTTTGAATTGGGAACATTTACCCAATCGCCAATTCCCGTTGATTTTTCACAGCGTCGTGGGAATAGACCAACGTGAAAAAACATCGCCTAGTTTTTTCAACATTCAAGAAGTTCAAATTGTTATGGATTACTTGAATAAGTTGATCGGTTCGAAAATGCAGGGTATTACGATTAAAGAACAGCATATTGGGATTGTAACACCGTACAAAAAACAAGCGGAGAAAATTAGACAATCTTGTTTGAAGAAAAAATATAATGATAATTTGATGGTAGGAACTGTTGAGCAATTTCAGGGTCAAGAAAAATTGATTATTATTGTATCAACTGTTAGATCTAAATCGGATCTTATTAAGTTTGATTTAAAATTTCATTTAGGGTTTTTGAATAATCCAAAGGTACAGGAATTCCTGAGAATTGTTAACTGTTATAAGTGAATTTTTAGCGTTTCAATGTTGCCATAACTCGTGCCAAAGCTTTATTAATTATCGTTGGAAATCCTAATATTTTGCAACACGATAAACATTGGAGGAGCATGATTTCGTATTGCAAGGATAATAATGCTTTGATTGGTAATAAATTTGATTTTGATAATTCAGGTGCCACAAATATGGATGATTTAATTCGTGAAGTACAAGTCATGACAATTACCAGTAAGAATAACAAAGATTATTATTGCAAAGACAATTTTTTTATTTTTCAGATGGACCAAATCTTGAAGAACGTCCAAACTTTTCTAGAGGCAATCTTTAATATTTTTGCTTTTTTAAGAAAATTCTTATTTTTTTTTCGGGAGATATGTTTTTTTTAATATTCTTTTTGATTCCAAACTGCTGCTCATTAAAAAATATAAAAATAATACTTGTGTTTTTTATTCTTTGAATACAAACAATTTGTTTATACCACTGAGTAGGCAAAAATAGTTATTTTTCAAACGCAGCATTATCGATCCCTTTTTCTAAATCTTGTTTTAGTTGTTTCTTCTTTTTGCCTATATTTCCTAAAACAAGTACTGTTATTTCACTTATTTTGTACTAAGTAAAGAACTACCAAAAATGATTTTTTCTATAACTATTATAGGGGATTCAGTCAGGAAGACTAATAAAACTGCAAGTCCAGTACTGATCCAAAGAGTACCCCAAAATTCGTATGCCTTATAAAAAATGATTCAAAAAACTTATATTTAAAACATTTAGAATTTACCATATTAAAGTCACTAAAATAATCCGGCCATTTTTTACCATATGCGATCACATATAATAATGTCACGTGTGTTAAATATATGCTATATGTAAATCGGTTAAGTACTTGGTATATAGGAAGTGAAAGAAACCAGTTGATTGGTCCTAAAACTTGACTGCAAAAAATGTATGTTTTATTTTTAACTTACCTCCATAATTGACAGTACAAGCTAAAATAATCCAGGAAATAGCAATCGACCAAACTGGTCGTACTAGCGCTATATGAATGGTATTACCCCACTTGTCATATTCCTTATTACGAAGGGTACTATGCCCCCCTAACACACAAGCAAACAATGTTCCTAAGCACACACCCCATAAAACAAAAACCACAACTTTGTTGAGTCTTAAACAAATTTCGTTTTGTTTAATTTTGTAAATAAAAAAGCCTAGGATAACTCCAATAACCCATGGCCCTGATCTCGTGTGGGTTAAAAGATAGTACTTATTTTGATAGTCATTAGAATTACTAAAATTATGGTTGTGAAATTTATACCAACTGAAAACCAGTTTTACCCATAAATATTTGATAAAATTGCGGGCAGTTGATTATCCCACGCTTCGAAAAAGCTTACTCCCATAAATGCTAAAACGCATAATGAGAGAAAAGGTAAACAAACCCGTGGATATTTCCATAACGCGAAAAATACCAGTGGTGAAATAATGTACAATTGCATGTCAATATTAAGATACCATGTTTGTCCAACACACTACAATTTTTTTTATCAAGAAATATTATTCTCGCATGTATTTACCATTTCGGAAATGTTGACATAATTTTGGACGTATAGAAGAGCTGACCACCAGTAGTCTTGACAATTTTTTTGAAAATACATCTCAAGGAAAGGCCATTTTGGTCCAGAACCTACATATTTTAAAAGAGTTGCACTGACTAGTACCACCAACGCAAATGGAGCGGTTAACCTGTAAAATATGTTTTATATAAAATTCCGACTGTTGCATTTGTGATTGCCTGAGATATCTGTGAAGATAGTACAGAAATAAATTAAAAGGAATTTTATTGTGTTTAGCTTTCATGAATCCGTACGACATTAAAGTACCACCGATTGTGAAGAAAGTATCTACTGATAAAGTCCCACTAACTATGAACATACTATATAACGAATTTGCCCATTCCATTAAATATTTAGTGTTAGTAATTGAACCATTCATAGGTATTGAATATTGATGTCCAGCCACAACCCACATCATGCTAATGAATTTTAAACCATTCAAGCATGGAAGTTGATCGGAAACGGAAATAGTCATTTTGAAAATTTTTTGACTGTTGCTGTAGACCGAAAAGCCTTGTAAAATCATTGGGCACGTTTCTAAAATTATCAGTTTTTTTCTTAGTCAAAATTAGTTCATCACTTACTGTGGCAATAGAATATGCAGTATAAATCACAGATAGTTGAAACGAAAGCCATTATAAACAACAAAGCTAAAATAACTCTGCAAACAGAATCACTAGAAGTAACACTTTTGATAAGTTTTCAAACAAACATTGTCACAACTGCACCAGGAGTTAGATCAGGTTTGACTTCATTTACTGTTTGGCAAAAAGAGTCAGTGAAAGTAATTCCAATTTCTTGCCCAAATACTGAATTAAAAAAAGCGTTACCGATGACATTAGTATCATTCGTGGAGCACCCATTTGGCAAACACAGTGCCCACATGGGCATAACTTGTGTTATTTTAATGCCATCTAGATCTCCAAGAGAGCTAGTTTTTAGGAGTATGTGGTCATTTTTGGCATTGTTGATGCTAATAAATCCTAAGCAGTATTTACCGAGGATAAGACCTGAATTCGTTGTCGTGGTTTCAATATTGATACATTGATTAAAATCGCCCATTTCGCCAAAATTTAATGAGAGTATTCCTGATGGTATTTTAGACGTAGCGTCCAGCACTGGAGAATTAAAACTTAAGAAAAATTGATCGCATTGTTTACTTACTTTGCAGTGCCCATGAAGACTCATTTATACTAAAATTTGCAAAATATTCTCCAAGTTGTTCTTCACATTTCTGCGTAATTAACAAAGACGAATTTTGCAAAATTTCAATGAAGGCTTCTTGACATTGTGCCTCTAGCACCAACAAAAAAAGTATCAACGCGCTTTGCCACATTTTGCTCATAAAGTGTACTGAATGTGGATATTTATACCTAGATATTGTTTTAGGTATTTATCTTTTTTAATCATCTGTAATAGGTATTATTATGTTTTTACGTTGTAATGAAAACCTTGTGATTTTCAACTCGTGCTAAAAATTTTAAGTGATTTTTGATGACTTTGATTGCAAATGTCAATGAACTCAATTATCTTTTAGTAGCGGATACATCAGATTATCGAAAAAGTCAAAAAATTTACGAGGATTCAAAAATTTACATCAAATTTTACCTTCCAATTGTTGCTTTTGCTTAACACAATAATAAGTTTTCAATGTACCAGTTTTCAGAGACATTAATTGGTAAGTAACAGATTTTTAAGATCAAATTGGAATTTTTAAGTAGAATTTTATCACCACAAGATGTTCTATTAAGATAATATGCAGTATAAACTACGGCTTAAAATTACATACTTATATGAAAATTATAGATTTATGACATTGATCGAACTTCAATTTACTTTATTTTAATTAAAATCAAGTGCATTTATGTTATGTTAAGCACGTAATTTTTTTAATTATTGCAACAAATATTTAAGAATGAGATAAGATTCCTATCAATTATTAACTGCATCATGCTACGAGTCCCTGGTTTTAAGTGCTTACATTTTATAACAATTTTATCAATTGTAAATTGTGCGAGTGCGTTAACCTTTCATTACTGAAAAAAATAGAAAAAAAATATTTCTGGTTTTAGAAACATTAGGTATATTACCTGGATCAAACAGCAAATGAAACAATAAAACAGTAGCTATGACCTACACTATGTTAATTTTACAATAATTATGTGTGTATTTTCCATTTTATCAGTAACAGTTGTTAGAGTGTGTCATTTCGAATATTGCTTAGCTTTACAAGAGTACAATAAAATCTCATTTAGGTACATAAATTTATTGAATAATAAAAATACAATATATGTATATTATGTTATATTTTAAGCAACAAAAATAGCTAATTAAGAAAAACACGTGCCTTCGTTAACCTTTTTATACTTTTGTTGTGTTTGCTGATATTTGTAGCTTTGCAGACTTTCGCATTACAGTAAAACCACCTAAGACAGACCCATAGTATTAGGAAATATTTCAATCACAAAGTTTTACCTAATAAATATTTTTCAACAGCTGATACTGGATACTCTGTTGTAAACACAAGCACAACTGCAAATAGAACACTAAAGCAAAAAGTTCCCCAAAACTCGTGTAACTGAAAATATTATTTATTAAACTTTAATTAAATTTTTTCGAAAAAATTTACTATGTTGAATTCACTGAAGTAGCCTGGATATTTCGTACTACCAGTATACACACCGAGAAAAAGCACATGTGTCAAATATATACTGTATGTAAACCGATTAAATACTTGATAAATGGGTAGTGAGAGAATCCAGTTGACAGGACCTTCAAATTTTATTTTATTTCAAATTTAGTGTTTTATTACTATTACCTCCATAATCGATAGTACAAGCAAAAATTATCCAAGAAATAGCAAGTGCCCACACTGGTCGTCCTAGTACTATATAAAGAGCATTACCCCATTTGTCATAATCTGGGCCTTGAAGAGTTTTGTGTCCTCCAAATACACAAACGTTTATTATTGCAATACATACAAACCACATAACGCAAACAATAAATTTATTCATTCTTATTTGGATGTTATCATGTTTGATTTTGAATAGATAGTAACCTAGAATTATCCCAAAAATCCACGGCGTTGCTCTTAGATGAGTTACGAAATAATATTTTTCTAAATATTCGCGAATGTTACTAAAATTAAATTACTAGCTAGTTGTTAAAATCAAAAGTAGAATAAATACCCATATAAATTTATCATAAGTCCAGTTAATTGGTTGTCCCAAGCTACGTAAAATGTTGCTACTGCAATTGCAACACTAATACCACACAGGAGCGTAATACAAGTTTTTGGATATTTCCACAAAGTGTACAATATTATAGGAGAGATTACATAGAGTTGCATGTCGACGCTGAGATACCAAGCTTGAGGAATGCACTATTTGAATTTGTTGAAAAAATAATTGTTAACAAATCATTTTTCATTAAATGTTACCATCTCTGAAACACTGAAGTAATTTTGTACATAGAGAAGGCCCAACCACCAATGGTCTTCACAACGCTTTTGGAATAATTCACTCACAACAGGCATTATTGGCCCACTGGCTAAGTATTTGAAAAGATTCATTTGAATTAATTCAATTACGGCAAGGGGTAGAGTTAATCTTGAATTTTTTAAAAATGATTTTCTACTGATTTCATAATCGATACTTACCTACCTCAGATATCTGTGAAGATAATACAAAAATAAATTAAATCGAATCTTATTCACTTTTGCCTTTATAAATCCATAAGACATCAAAACACCTGCTATTGTTAAAAAAGTATCAACAGCGTAGGTTCCACTGGCCACAATCATACTTTGTAAATTATTTGCCCAGTCTACTATGTCTTTGGAATGAGTAAGAATATTATTTAGTTGAAACTGGTGTACATGCGAATAAATAACCCACAACATACTGATACATCTTAAACCATTCAGACATGACAAATGATCAGCAGTAGGTGGCGACATTCGGAAAATTTTTTGGCTATTTGTGTAAATAGAAAAGCCTTCGATTAACTTAGGACAAGAGTCTGATCAAAACAAAGTAATAACCAACTGAAATATCAAATATTACACTTACTTTTACTGTAGAAAACACAATAAAGGTTGTAGATGGTTGAAAAGAAAACTACAGAAATCAGAAGTAGCAAAACCGTTCTGCAAGAGAATATTTCGTTTAATAATTTTTTAGCCAAATACTTACATTGTTATTATTGCTTTAGTAGTGAGGTTTGGATAAACATCATTCACAGTCTGGCACAAAGACTCCATAAATTCTACTTCAATCCCTGTATTTTTTATAAATCTATTCGTATTTATAAGAATGTTCCCAATAGTGTTAGCATCGTTAACCGTGCATTCATTAGGTAAACATAAAGCCCAACTCGGAACTTTGACTAATCCTATTTTACCAGTGAAAAAATTTACTTCAGGTCTATTCTCCAACAGCTAAAATTTTTATGTCAAAACTTTTCAATCCGAATTAAAATTATTACACTCATGGCTTTAGTGTTATTAATTATAACACGACCCAAGCAATATTTTCCGAAGATCATCCCAGCTTTAGTCGTGTTGGTCCGAATGTCTATACACTCGTCAAAATCACCCAAAACTTCGACATTTAAAGAGAGGACTCCTGATGGCACTTTTGCAGTTGCATCTATCACTAAAACAGTTTTTTAGTGGAAATTTATTGGAGATATAAAGCGACTTACTTTGGAGTGCTGCAGAATTTGGATTTAAACTAAAATTCATAAATAGTTCTCTATACTGAAGCAAGCATTTTGGTGAAACGGCTAGAGATACTTTGCTTAAAGTTTCACCAAAGACATTTTTTTTACTTTGGGTGCAAAATATTTGTGTTGACAAAATTAGAATTAAAGTTATTTGCCACATTTTTTAGAAACGAGTAAACCACTTTTAAAAAACTAATAATGTCAGTAACACAATTTTACAATGTTATCAAAAGGTTGTCTAAATTTTGCAAGTTAAATGGTGGCCTCAGTTTTGGAATAATAATGAGACCGATAGTGTAGTGCAAATTAAGTATTTATGTGATTAACAAAACACCGATTTTTTGATTAAAATTTGAGAAAAAATTTTGGTCTAGTTCATGAAAATGAAAAGCAAATAATATTTTTATCACTTTATTTCAATATCAAACGAAAACAATTATTTAAGAAACAGAGTAGGTCTTTCGAAGGAAGATATTGACACGGAGTCATCTAATTTTTCCTGTAACAATGATTGCACAAATTATTTTGAAAACAATTTTTGTTTGTATGTTTACATGCATGCTAACTTCTGTATCCACCTTTGGTAACTTCCTTATCTTGACAAATTTATCTAAAAAATAATAATAAACAATTTATAAATAATTTAACTAAATATAATTATGACCTCTCAAAAATTTTTCTATTGCTATCATTGGATATTCGACCATAAAAACCAAAATCAGTGCAAAAACAATACTAAAACATACTGTTCCCGCGTATTCGTACATCTAAAAAAAATTTTTAAATGAACATTTGTACAAATAATAGTGATTTTACCATGTTGAGTTTACTAAAATGGTCGGGATATTTTCTGTTACCAACAATTACACTAAGCACAACCACGTGTACTAGATACATAGAGTATGTAAATTTGTTTAAAACTTGATATATTGGTAATGAAAGGAACCAGTTGACTGGGCCTTAAATTTTTTTTAATCAATTTATTTATTATTATTATTTATTGTTTTTTTTACTCACCTCCATAATCGACGGTGCAGGCAAAAATAATCCAAGAAATAGCCACCGACCACACCGGTCGTATGAATGTTATATAAAGAGCATTTCCCCAGCTGTCGTATTCTTTAGTTCTAAGAGTACTATGCCCTCCCAAAACACAACCTAACATTGCTCCAATGCATATCACCCACGTGATACAAACAATAAATTTATTGATTTTTATTTGGGTGTTATTTTGTTTTATTTTAAATAAATAGTAACCTAAAATTATTCCGATGATCCACGGAGAGGCTCTCAAATGTGTTAAGAAATAGTATTTGTGTGTATATTCCTTAAAATTGCTGAAAACTACATTGAAACATATTTAAAGTCATGATAAGTACCCATAAAGATTTGCTACAAGTGCTGTTAAGTGGTTTTCCCATGCTGAGTAAAAAGATGCTCCCATGATAGCGATAATACAACCACACAAAGTCGCAATACACATTTTTGGATATTTCCACAAAGCAAAAAATATTATTGGTGATATTACATAAAGTTGGAAGTCGATACTAAGATACCAGGTTTCCTCAAGACACTTCAAAACAATTAAACATTTTGAAATTTTTATATGTTACCATTTCTGAAACATTGACGTAGTTCTGCACGTAGAGAAGTGTTGTCCACCAATATTTTTCGCAAGGTTTTTGAAATATTTCATGCAGGATAGGCATTTTTGGCCCATTGCCTAAATAATTGTACAGATTTTTTAACACAAATATAACCACAGCAAGTGGTGCTGTTAATCTTTAAAAATTTTGTTAAGTTGCTGTTAAACAGTTTTGTTTCCTACTTTACCTTAAATATCTGTGAAGATAATAGAAGCATAAATTGAAACGAATTTTTTTTGTTTTTGATTTAATAAAACCATAAGACATCAAAACGCCGCTGATTGTGAGAAACGTGTCTACTGATAAAGTTCCACTTGATACAAACATGCTGTTGAGAGAATCGGACCACTCTACTATGTGTTTTGAATTTGTAAGAATATCATTCATTAGGATTTGATAATGATGGAGGTACACCACCCATAGCATACTAATACATCTTAGACCATTAAGACATGGCATTTGGTCAGCTGTAGGTGGACTAGTTTTAAAAAATTTTTGACCATTTGTGAAGACAGAAAAGCCTTGAGTTAACTGTGGACACACTCCTGACAAAAACTTTAATAAATATTTATATGAAATGCCATTTTGCTTGCTTTACTTTTACTCCAGAAAGTGCAATAGAGGTCGTACACAGTTGCTACCAGGATAATACATATTAAAATTGCTAAAACAATAATTGTTATAATTGCTTTAGTGGTAAGTTGCGGGAAAGCCTCATGGATTGTTTGACAAGACGTTTCAGAAAAATTTACTGCAACTCCTTTATCTTTTAGTATCATACTGAGAAAAGCGTTTCCGACGACATTAGCATCGTCAGAAGTACACCCATTTGGTAAGCATAGGGCCCAAAGCGGCATTTTGGTTACTACGCCATTACCAGTGAAAAAATTAGCCTCGGGACCATCTGTCACAAGCTTAAATAATAATTAATATAACAAACCCCAAAATTCCTTGTAATTCTTACTGTCTTTAACTTTGTATCATTTTTAAGTACAAAAAGTCCTAAACAATATTTTCCTAACAGGAATCCTGCACTCGTATTGGTTTTAATTTTTATACACTGATCAAAATCGCCTAAAGCGTTGATATTTAAAGATAGTATTCCCGAAGGAATTTTTGCAGTAGCATCTACCACTATAAAATAAGGATTTATTATAGAATATTCTGTAAAAACAGAAGACTTACTTTGTAGTGCTATCGAATTTGGGTTTAAACTAAAATTAGCAAACAATTCTTCAAACTGAAGCAAACATTTTGGCGTGACGGAAAGTACTACTTTTTCTAGAACGCCCACCAAAGGGTTTATTTTACCCCAAACGCAAAATACTTGTGTCAAAAGAAATAGAATTAAAACTACTTGCCACATTTTTCAAAATTGTGTTACATAGGGATTGAAATCTCTTTCTGACGAGGCTTAAAGTGTAAAGATTTTTTAAATTTAAAAAAATCAAGATTATTCAAATATATTTGAATGTTTTTGATGTGTTTAGTTATCAGCTCATTTGTTTAATGGTTTCCTAAAGTGGGAGCATTTTTTATTAATAAAACGTTTTTCATTACTGTTTAGATAAGAAAAACCTTTTCTTTATTTTCATTTTTCATTATTTAAAATTTAAATTTGAAATTTTAGAACAACATGAAAATTATTTTTGTTTTGAGAAAACTGATGTGTTGGTAAAATGTTATAAATGTCTGATTTTGTGTGGTTACCTTGTCTTTACACAACCGTGAACTCACTTTTAAAGCAAACAATTGTTTTTTTCTACAGTTGCAAATCGGAGATTTTTGCAGAGGAGGAATTTAATTATTTAAAAAGAATAGTTATGAGTGGGTTTCAATCTCTGATTAAAATGTGGAGCATATTTTTCAGAGTTTATTAACATTTTCTTGTCACAATTGTCACACGCTCTAAGTCTACATTCAAAAGATACACATATTTTCACACTTAATTCGTGTATTGGAAAAGTAAAGCTGAAGGTGTGCGCATTGGTATCATCTTTGTTTCTCCCGAAATCGAATCATAAACCCAATACTCTCTCCCATTGAAATTTTTCTTCTTAATATTATCGTTCTTATTCGGGGGATTAAACAACGTATGATAAGGTGGAGGTGGTGTTACAAACTTTGATGTGTAAGGAAAATATCCAAACTTTTCATAATTATTGTTGAGATTAACTTCAAAAGTGTGTTTGTTTGGATTTTGTAACGGCAAATTTTTCAAAATGTGCGTGTTCTTTGGTTGCCGACGAATTACCAATTCTATTATAAAAATAGTAGCCGAAATGATGAAACCACCACCGACTATCTCGTAAGTCATCAAGAGATCCGAATTGCGTAATTGGCGTTCTTTGTTGCCTAAATTGTGTGGACAGATTTCTGTGTCCGGGAGTTCTTCCCGGAGTTTAAATTTAATTATTCCGGATTCGACAAGGTACTGTATCCTACAAAGATAAGAATTTAGATATGTAATTGTAAAATTTAAATAATTTTAACTAACGTTGAGTCAAATAACGGCTTGTATTTGAAATCCTTCGAGTAAGCAAAGGCTCGAGAAAAGGACACTACTGAAAATTTTGTTATAACGTAAGTGCATCGTTTGGTTTCCTCAATCTGGTTTCTGGTCTTTTCTTTATAATCATCATACATGACATATTCCACTATTGGTTTTTCCCTTATAAACATCCAGTCTCTTTTCTGAACAAAAGTGCTCAAAATTTCTGAATCCGAAACGTAAAGGTAGCGTTGAGGTTGCCCTAACATTTTTCCAAGTTCTGTCAAAGAATCATTTACAGTTACTGTATCTTCCAAAGCATTTCCCTTTGTTGTCACCCATTTATATCCCTTAGCTCCTATATCTTTAGGTTCAGTGATTGGCAAAGTAAATCTTGATAGAGTCAAAAATGCTGTTAAATTAGCAGTGTAGAAAGCGGTCAAAATCGTGATAAAAATCCACCATGTCGCAAATAACAAACGCGAGGAGTCTATGACTGTAAATGAGAAACAAGTGCAAAAAACTACCCCTTACCTGTCATAGGATTTAGCGTAGTGCCTTGTTTCAAAAGCGCCCCGTACACAAACCAGACACATGCCGGGAGAGGAAACACTTTGTTATTATCATCTTTGCACAACTTTGCTTGCAAATAAATAATAAAATGTATAACGGGACCTACGACAACCAAACTCAACAAAATTAATAACCACACAGGTAGGGTGAAAGGTGCTAGCAGTCCCGACCCAGTAGCTGACTCTTTGGGCCGTCTCATGAGTACTACCCATTCTCCTGTATCTATACTTGGAGAGTAAGAAATGTAATTCGAATATTGAGTTAAAACTGGGAGAAAAGCGGCCGATAAATTCGCCTTCTAAAAATCGCAGATTTCTGATTTAATTTTAATAAGTCTTAGTTACCTACTTTTTCTTTGAGTAAGTCTAAAACTCCAGACTTTTCCGACCCCCATACGTTAATTTTCGGTTCAATTATGGTATAATTAAATTTGAATTTATCTTGCAAAATATTGAGAAGATCGAAAGCTACTCCTTTGCCAAAAATGATATTGTTCTTTTTTTCAGTACCACTCAACCGATCATTCTGAAAACCACATTCAACGAACTGAATCTGAAATTGTGTTAATTACCTTAAGTGTTGTAATTACTAAATTTTCATTTTTTAACTGTTCAGATAATTGCGCAAACAACGTTTTACGGTCACTCAAACTGGTGGCAAGATATTGAACTTCGGGAAAGCCAGCTGAAATAGCGATAATTTTTAATTTGATTTTTTTTAAATAATTTATTTACGGGGCTCTTCCTCTCTTGGACATGTTGCATTCAAACATAGTGCTGCTAAAGCGATTTCAAAAAGTCCCATTTTTTCTTGACACCACTCTGCATTTTTTCACATAATAAAGTATTCGATCACTATCGAAACACTAAAGTTTAGATCGGCTAGCATTAATTTTATTCATAAATGGCGCATGCTTTATTCAGTCGATATGGTCTATTATGGACATTTATTATTCAAGAATTTGTGCTTCGGGTAATCGTTTTGACACGGTATACTTTAGTTAGGAATGAAATAAATGGGTTTTTCGGGCAGTAATTATCAAAATAATAAAAACATTGTCAAACCTTTGCACATATTAATTTTTTACACATCCAGTACGTGTATAAACAATTTTTACTTAAAAAAATACAAGTTATATTTTCTAATTTGATTTATTAAAACAAATCAGCAAATTTACTTTTTATTGATTTCATAAATATTATGGGTCATCAAATTGATATGACCTTCAAGATAATCATAAAAATACATATACTAGATATTATTGCCTGTAATAGAATAATCATTACTTATTCATTAGTTTTTTATTTAAATGAATGTGACATAATAATTACCGCATCCGTTCATGATTTTTGTAATGGTAATACAGTTTTCAAAAGCTTTTTAATTGTCTAGCAATTAATTACTTAAATTCAAATATCTTTTCTTGTAATAAAGCGTGATTTATGGACATAGAATGAATTAAATTTTTGTCAAAAAGACAGTACCAGCTATTAGAGGATAGATATAATGATATAAATTATTACAGCTGTAGAAAAACATAAATATTATTGGAAATAGCTTTTAGTTAATTCAGTCTAGTAGAGCAATACCTATATGCAAACTTCGACGTAATAATAAATCGACCCATTTTCAACCTTTATATTCGTGACATTATAATGAGCGCTTCCTTTGTAAAGCTTTTTATCAAACACTAAATTGTCCACAAAATCGATTTCTCAAACAAGTTATCATGCATATCATGTCTTATAATAGAGAAAAATAAACCAAAAATGCTTAAAATTAATTTATTAATCACAAAAATCAGACTTACAATTGTCTTGTACAACCAAGACTCACAATTTGTGCTTAATTTAAAATTGATTAATTATCTTGATTTTTGGGGTCACAACTTTTGAAACTTTGCTTTTTTCTTCCTTGTCACTTGGGTCTTCTACAACAATATTTTTTTTTAAATCCACGTCCACAAAAAAATTTATTTACCTCTGTTTAAAATAATTTTCTCTAGTCCTAGAATGGGGGCCTCGAATAGCATGCTTAAAAATAAGCCGAAAATGTACGCTAACGTAATATCGCCAGCAGTGTAAAACATCTAAGTTAAAAAAACACATTATCAGAAAATCATTTTTTGAAAAACTTACGAGATGAAATACTCCGGCATAACTAGGGTGCCTTAAAATCCCAACGGTGTAAATCTGAATAGCCCCATGACAAAGAAAGGCCGCATATGTTATTCGACTGAGAAGTATCATAGGTTTCCACTCTAAGACTGGCTGAACCCAAGCTGCGAAAAATAATTAGTAAAATCGAAAAGATCTGTTATTTTTTTACCCCCATGTCCTTCCGAAATAGCAATAATAATCCAACTGATACAAATGCTCCAAGTGAAGTGATGCATAGCGGAATAAATTGCAGAAATAATGGGGTCGTAAGGCTTATCCGGCAAGTAGAAAATAAAAGCGGAGTAAACAGTGACTTCAATAATGAAAATACTCATAACCCATCCCATGTAAACCATATATTTGGGTATTTTATACTCCCGAGACTTTATAATATATTTAATGTATCCCGTAACCATCCCGACAAAGTAAGGACTAGCCCTCATATGTGTCGGAATGTAAATGTTTTTGAACGTATTGTTAATAACAGGATCTCGCAAAAACCTGCAATTACATAATTTGCAATATACTTAATAAATAAAAAATTAATCAAACACTCACTTCATGTAAAGCATTAAAATTGCATCTTCCTTGCTAAGATACACGGTGGCAAAAACAACAGAAATTGAAGCTACAATAAGCGTAAATAAGGTCACAAGACCTAGGAAAGGTTTTTTTCTTAATATCCAAATTATGATAGGTGCAAGCATAAACAAGTGCATATCGCATGTCATATACCACGACTGGAACATACACTGAAATAATATAATATTAATATTCTTGTTGTCCTTGTTAAAAACATTTTACTTACAATGTGTTCCTTGTTGATGTAATTATTTAAATAAAATAAATTGGCCCACCAACTAGCAATGCAACGTTCTTGTTCTACTTGAACTCTTTCGAGCCACAAAGGGCCGGAACCCACTTTTACAAAAAGAGTGCAGTAGAAGGCAAGAACCATGGCATAGGCTGGGGTTAGTCTAGAAATAAAACTGTTATAACTTTTATAAGATATTTTTTCCATACCTTATGAATCTGTGGAGATACAGGAAAAGAAAGTTGATACCGCGTTTTCGTTTCTCTAATTGGGTTAGCATTAAATAACAAACTAAAAATCCAGAAATGTTAAAAAAGGTGTCAACTATCACAGGGCCGTTTAGGAGGGCGGTTGCTTCAATTCGGCCGTACATCTAAGAATAATAATGATAAAGAATATTTTTTTTTAATATTTTTACCCTTTAATTCGAATATGTTAAATGTTGGTAAATTGAGAAAAATAGTCTTTTCAAAATTTTCAAAATAACGGTAAGAATAAATTTGAAAAATATTTCAAATGATGGAAGTTAAATACATGTAACCAATATTATTTCAGTTTTCAGTACAATATTTTCAATTTTCTTGATTATTTATAAAACATAAAATAAAATCATTTTTCGAATTTTTAACAAACATTGCAATAAGCAAATTAAATCATTTTTACAATTCTATAGAAGATGGCCTTGCCAGAACTTATTATAAAATGTATTTCACTTTTTTCTAAAAACACGAAAATTTTTGAAAATTAGTGAACGGGAATATCCTTGGCATTTTATAAGCTAGTTTAACAAAAAAATTCTCATAAACCAAATTGATTTAAAATTTAAATCAATTTACTTACATTTTCGATGAAGCTGGGATTTATCAACGGTGACCCAATCCCAAACATAATTCTATGTCCCATGATTATAAGAAACATAGAAATTACTTTCAAGCCATGAATGCACTGAAGCCCGTCATCATTTACAGTTCCACCACTTAATTTTTTCAAATTTGACCATAGGGAGAACGACATTAAAATTTGATGTTTTTTTCCTGAAACACAAAATAAACATCAAGATATACGTTTATGTAAAATGTTTACCCTCAAGTTGATATTTTTTCAAGTCGTCCAGTTTTATTAACCAATCGTAAGAAGTAGCTATACATGCTAAAAGAACAAAAAAGAACACCACACATCTGAAAGTGTTGTGATTAAATTAAATGTAAATAATAAAATTTAAATAATTACATAAAGCCGATATCAGCACTGCTGAATTTGAATTCAGGTTTAAGTTGACAATTCCGCGGATTTACACTTGCCGTGACTTTGAAATCACTGAAGGAATTCAATTTTGCAGTGACTTGTTTCAGCGACGATTCCAGATCGCCGTAATTGCAAGAGGATGGGATGCAATAGGAAAAGAAAAATTCGTTCCTAGTATTACGAGACCTCTTATTCGAAAACGCCTGAAATTAAAAATTGTAATTTTGATAAAAAAAACACGGTGAATTTGTGATTAAATTACTCACTATCATTTTCTCCCACGTAGAGGCGTTAATAAAATAATTATCTCCGTTAAAAAATCGGGAATATTTTTGCTCTTCATGTTTAAAGTCAGGTGGTGCGATATGAAATTTGGCCATACAGTACCTTCCTTGTATTTTTTCCCCGGTCAAAGGTACTCTCACTTCGATACATTCGTCAAAATTTCCAAAATCGTAAGTCGAGCCTGACAAAATTCCAGTAGGAAATTTGGACGAAGCATCAAACACTGGTAAAAAATACATTACAACACTTGATACACTGACACAAAAAACCTACTTTCCGTAGCCCACAATCTCAACTTTTTCAATTCTTCGACATAAAAAATAGTATGATTTCGGCATTGCGGATTTTCCGAATTTAGCGTCGGGATCAAAATGTATAAAACTTCATCCAGAGGCACGTTGTCGAATTGGAAGGCTCGGGAAAAGTTGAGACAAACACACAAAACTAGAGCTTTGTATCCGATCATTGTGACATACTTAATTCTTGCAAATGGACGAAAAGCTTCAGCACCACTTTGATATAAAAGGACTAAAGACGGACGAATTTAAGACAAGGAAAGGTCACTGCATCTGGAAAAAACAGCGCTTATGGTGGAAGTGGAAAATGTTGGTGGATTTTTCAAAACGCCGGGTTTATTGGACAAGATTTGAGATAATTAAGTAAAATGTACGTACCTTAATAGAGTTACCTTGAAAATAACCAGCTTCTTGGTAAAGTGGTGAAAAACTGGCACTCTGGCACTTGTTTCGATGGACTTGTTTATTCCTGCAAGGGAGCATTATTAATACCAAATTTTTTCGCGTTTTTTTAGCAGGTATAGTTATAGGTAGCGCATTGACCCTAGTCCTAGGACTGGTTTCAAGCCCCATTCTGAATACGTTTGTGGGGTATGGAATTTTTTTGGCTACGCTCAAAAACATTGGAATTTTTTATGAACGAGATACCATAATTATATATTGGGATTCCACTGCTCGTACGCTGCTGTTGGTGTTGTTACAACTAATCGTTCTCATAAGTTTTATTCCAGTCTAAAATATGTCTCTAAATTTTCAAACTGCAGCTGATAATAGGTCGTAGAAATTTTAAAAACAATGAATTTATCCATAATGATTTTTACATAATGCAAAAAATAGGCACTAATACTAGGTACTTAATTCGTATCTAACACAATTTAGTACACATATTTCACAGTTTTAAGAAAGAAAAACACATTACAAATTTTAAATTCTTGTTTCTTTAACTGAATTCAGAAATCTTTTTTTGGTTAAAAGCTTAAATAACAAATACGCATAAATAGTAACGTTAAAATATTTTTCATGTCCAAAAACTCTTAACTCTAAACTTAAAATATACCTAAAGAATTATTTTGTAGAAATGTTGCAAGTTATCCAAATTATTCATACATTGTTGGGTTCTATTAAAATCCACATTAAAAGGCACTGATTATTTAAAATTTTTATTTTAGAAACACGAAAGCAAGTTTGTTTGATAATTAAAATAAAAAAAAATTACCTTCAGACTTATGCAACGCATTTTAATAATTCCGCACCACTCAGTCACTGGCTTAACTCAACTAAAAATTCTAAACAGTTTTTAAATTGTTCACAGGGATAGTAAAAAACTAACTACTAAGCAAACTTTTATTTAAATAAACAGAAAGAATGACATTGAAAATGCACATTCATTGAGTAATCATTTTAATATTTTCCAAACATGCAGTAATTATTTAGACAAGTCTGGGCGGAAAAATTGTATCAAGGCGTCATAGGAGTACTCATCAAGGATTTCACGAAGAGTCACTAGTTTGGATTTTACGTTGCAGCCCTTGAATTTATTGTAATCAATGTATAAATCCGTAATAATACCTAAAAATAGTTAAAGAAATTTTTATTAATTATATTCATAACAATAATTTTAGTACCATAAAGGCGATCTAAATAGTCTGGTTGACTTTGATACTCCTTTCTCACTTCTTTTTCATTGGCCAACAAATTTCGATACTTCTCAGATAAACAAGTTCTGTTTTCCTCTTCTGTTACTTCTAATTCATTCAAAGCATTCAATAATTTAATATCGTTATTCAAATTCTTCTGTTTAATTAATTTTGGTTCGATTAACTTAATTACATGATTAATACTTTCATCATTAATATCTAAAAAACAGAAAATCATAGTACGTTTGTAAAAAATAGATTACAGTAATAACTAACTTGAGCTAATACTGATTTTAATTTTTTTCTTTGTGGCTTCTACTGTCAGAAACTCTTTCAGGATTGAAATTGTTGACACGTTATCAGATTTAAAAAACGCTTCTCCTTTTCTGAAAGTCAGTTTTAAGCATTTAAGCTGACAAAAATTATAATTTTTTACTGATAAGAACAGTGTAAGATGGTCCCCAACAAAGTCGACTGAAAATCTAGCACCGTATTTTCCCCAAATTGGGGCTTTTCAGGCACTTCAGGCAAACACTGCGACACCCAAGTATGCATTTCAGCCAAACTGAAAGTTCCGGTAATTGTCAAACTATTAAATAACCGACTTTCATCAAAATTATGAATCCTGTAATGTAACGATAGTGGTTTAATTTCGAACTGTTTCAGTCTGCTACATTTTGGTTGGACCAAAGGCGTAACGTAAGCTTGGAGAAGACCATGTTGACCCTCGATGGTTCTAATTTTAATTTCGAGGCGGTTGGTATTGACTTGACACCGGTAAGTCGCCAATAAAAAATTTCCAATCTGGGTTATTTTAAACTTGTAAACAAACAGCTATTTAAAGTTTGTTAACTCACAAAGTGGTCCGAGTCGCTGTAACTGATCACAGCCAAATTTTTCTCCACGTCTAGTAAATCTACAGCGACGTTGCTTTGCAGGAGAATATTGTCAATAGCCGTCGGAACTTCCATGGTTAAAGTATAAGTCGCTGTGTCTTTTGATAGCACAAACTAGAAGTCAAAGTTTGAGCAAAAATTTTTCCAATTTTTTCACCTAACTGAATCTTTGACTGAAAGCAAGGGGATTGCTGATAACTCCTCAAAAAAAGACTGAGTTGAGTTTTGATATTTTTCCCGTTCTTTGGAAACTTTAACTTGCAGGTCCTCAATTTCGCTTCTGAAATAAGTTAGATAAAAGTCTCCTAATCGAAATTTTGCCAGATTTACTTCAATTTATTAATTTTGTTGCCCGTATCTTGTGAATAAATATAGTTCCCCATGCTGCTATCAGCCACACTTTTATCAACTGCCTCAGTAGTGAGGCCAAAAATGCGTCCGGTGTAGGTTACCACCAAGATCTCGTCGAAACCTTGGGTTCCGATGACCCCACACTGCAGTGATGAAATACTTTCGTTGCAATTCTGTAGGAAAAAAGTGATAGTGACATTGATCTTGATCATGCAAAACCGGTTTGAAAGTCTTGTTAATTGGTTTTTGTCTGCGTGAGAATGGGTCGATGAAACGATCAAGGCCGGTTGTACTCACATGTGAATAAATAAGCACTGAGGAGTCTAATTTATCATTTACATTGATTACGTATACTTCAATGGTACCGTCTTGGCGTCCCAAAATCAGGTTTTTGGTACCACCGCTAGTCATGTCGTAAGTATCTACACAAGAAATGGTACTTGAGTTTGAGGAGTTGTCAATAAGCCAACGGTCAAAACCGTGCAACCTAATTATAAAAAAATAATTACAATTAAATTTTGTTGCTGAGTACTACTTTTCAACGTCTAGTATCCCAATTCGGCCATCGACGGTACCAAACAACACTGTTTTGGTACCTTCCTGTTCAAGGACATGAAGAAGAGTTGGTGCACTCTCCACTTCCATACTTAGAGTGACCCTTGCATGTTCCAAGGCTCGTATCATTCGTCCTTCACACGCTATCAAGGACATAAGTCTACGAGTCTGAATAATTGTTATTTTTTGTTCTTTAATTCTGAAATATTGTTATACCCTGTCAGCATAAAACGCGATTACGTCGACTATTTGATCACCACATAAGTAAGAACCCACATCTTTACAGTCCCTGTAATGGTTGTAAATATGTCTGCCACATAAAAATAAATCGTTGCCCAAAACAAACCTACAAAAGTTTTATTAGGAAAAAAATTTGCGATTTGCGAAGTGTAACATTGACAAGACAGTTTCAGTCATTCCAGAGTCGAAAGTTAAAAACAATTTTCCTTTTTTTGTGTACCCTCTTACTTCATTTTCTGCAGCAATAAATATTTTATCGCTTGAACTCCCTTGAAGTTAAGTTTTGTGATCATGTTGCGATTTAAAAAGGATATTTACCATGAGCACCGCCTAGTTGCAAAGACGAAATTTTAGGTCCTGGCAATGTTTTAAAATGTAACTGGATGTCCTCTTTCTTAACTGAGAAGATTTGTAATATTCCATCACTGTCAGCTACTGCAACCTTGAACCTGTGTTACTTTTGGCTCGAGTTTAATTTTCTTACCTTTTGGGGTTCTTTTGAAACGCTCGGTGGTAGAAGTTTGAGGCAATTTTGAGACGTAATGCCCACAATGGTATAATCCACTCGTGATAGTTCTAATTCCATTTTATTTTTATTTTGAAAGTTTATCTACTTCGTCAGTGCAGTGGGAAATCGATGAAGGAGATGGAGAGGGACATGTTGGTTGCTAAGTTAGAATACAAACAATGTTTTCTCGCTTCATATTCGTTTATTTCGCAATAGCAGAAATTTTTAATATAGGATTTTCCTATTTTATGACAAAAAGACATTGTTTAAATATAAACTATAAATGTCTGTTACAAAATGCTATTACTCAAGGCAGCGTGAAGCAAACATTACTTAATATTTCTTTTAATAATTCACAATGATTTCTTTGTATAAAATTGATTCATCCGTTGGGGCCATGAGACTCCTACCATTGTCCTCAACAGTGGCTCCTCAGGGTGGTACAAAAATCCATAAGTCAATAGGCGATCTCGATATTTATGAAAATATTAAATTTTTATTTGAGTGAAACAAAACGCTATTCAAAATAAAACAAAACGTATCATGTACATACAATTAGCATAATTGTCGACTTTGGCCCTCAAGAAATTAACGTTGGGCCTTCCTTCCATATTATGCACTTAGTCCTACTAACTATTATTATTATTATTATTAATTATTATTATGTACAACTATTTTACGCAAATGAATTTTCCATAAATTTTCTGCAAAAATATTTTGATTTTACGGAGTTCCTTTTGCAACCATTATTATTGTAAAGTAAATAAAATCATTATTTCAGTTATTTTCCAATAATTTACTGCAGTTTAATTTTATTGTAGAGAATAACGAGTGAATGGTGAACGTACTGAAAAATATTTATTAGGAATCGACCTTGATAAAATGTACACAAAAATGAGTCATCTTAAACGGTTTATTCTTACAGAAAATCCGTATTACATGGAGTAAAAAGGTATTTTCGAAAATAAAATTGTTATACAACTCCTTAGCAAGACGTAATTCCAACAGCTGGTATCGATAAGAAGGTATGTTTTTGTTCGGAATAATAATTTCCTCATCTTATAACCTCAAAAACGTTTTTGTATTATTATGCAAAAATTAATATTTTTTATAAACGCCTTAATATTAGCATTACAAATGATGATTAAACCAAAATCCATCAACATTCAGAAATCAAAAATTAAAAAAAAATATTGTATAGTTGGTTGCCTATATACACGTTTTTAATTTTTAACAAAGCTTATCTAATCTGCAGATCTTTAACATTTTTTAGATAACAATGAACGTCAACGATTTCATCCACCGTTTCCACAATCTCGCCGGTAACACAATTGGTGAAAAAAGGAAGTCGCTGTTCCTGCTCCTGAAGAACCTTCCATCAGACCAGTCCACACTTATCACTTCCATCACTCCCAAAACCCATTTGGAGCAACTTTTCAAACTGGAAGTTTTACTCAGGCTACAAAGTATTCCCCACTTGATCGAAGTACTTAAAAGCGAAGAAGAAATTCTCCCCGCAAAATTATTAAAAAACAAATGGTTTTGTCAAAAATTAGCATCGATTCTTGATGAAGACAACTCAAATTTCGTTAACACCATTCTACCGTTCACATCTTTCGTCATACGGATGAGAATAATCGCCAACCTTGCTCTTTACGGCACAAAAATGGATAGTGTGTATGACGATATTCAAAAACGATATGGTATCCATATCGCGACGAAGATGTTAGTAGGATGCAGCGAATCAAAAATTAGACGCGTTTTGCAAGACGGAGACCTCTATCTGTCGCCTCACGACCTCAAAGTGCTGTTTCTTAAACATCCACAACTATTTCTGCTTTATTTAAAACAACAAGGCCCCTTCGTTGATTACTCATCAGTTTTGAGTTTTATCGCACGAAGAGATAAAAAAACTTTCCTGGAGTTAATGACAACTTTCAAGTTAAGAGCAAACATTGGTAAACGACTTACCAGACACCTGTTGAATACTTTCAAAGATTTCATAATCGCAGAAGCAAAAACACTGAGTACATCTCTTCATATCAAAACGGTCATGAAAACTTTAAATCAAGACGATTTTAAAAACTTTTTTTTCAACTGTTTTCCAGCAACTATCGACGATTTGCGTTATGAGTTTCACCAAATGAAACAAAAAACCGGGAAAAAATCTTACGAACTGCTTTTAGAAGGTATAAAAAAGGTTTTTAATAAGAGTTTGTACGATTATCCCGATCTCGTCAATGAAGATATGATGAGATTCATGGAGCTTGAAGAAAGAGAAAAGTGGATCGAACTGAAAAAGAAAAATGGGACCCCGGAAGCCGATTTGGTTAAATTTATGCGAACTTCCGTTTCCATTCCTTGGATCAAAAATAAAACTAATGTTACTTCCGCTGTTACGTCACGAGATGACCTTGCTTGTCTTCTTGTAACAACTTGTAGAATCAACAATGACTTGAATGCCTTAGCAGAAGTCTTGGAATATTTTTGCAACAGACACAGAAATGACAGTGAAAGTGTCTTGCGAAATTTTTTATTCCAACTTGACAAGTTATATAAAGTTGAAACATTGAAAGAACGCCACTGGAAATTTATCAACACGCTTAATAACATCTTGGACATGAAAGGACACAATTCTTACTTCGGTTACGATTTTCAACTTAAATACATCGAATTTCTATTCCTCAACAATAAATTAACAGATGACCACGTGTTAAATTTTTTGAAACTAACCGGAGGGATCAATTACTGGGAGTACAAACTCAAAAGTGAACCCTTGAAAAAGGTATTTTTATTAAAAATGATAGACCACATGCCTGATTTGATGGGTGAGAAAAAAGAAATCCATTTGCAAGATTTGTTAACCATAAGCTGGATTTTTGGTTGGAACAAAAAACACCCTAATGACCAAATATTTTTTTTAAATTACCCTCGACTTGCAGCTTCGTTTCATAAATCACTACAAGAGGCAGTGAATGACACTGAACGGAAACAAAAACTGACCAACTTGTCTTACTTACTCCAAATCATCATTTGCACGAAGGAAAAGTCACAGTTTCGTGATGATGCTATAGAAAATTATTTTCTATTAGATTATCGGTTTTACAATGAGGAAATCGACTTTTGGCTTTTGAAACACGAACCGGAAATGGTACACAAACATTTCGACAAATTCTGTGATCACGTTCTAGGTTCGCCATTCCCGAATTTGCAACTTATAAATTTATTGAAAAAATATTCCCACTTATCGTTCGCTAAAAAAATGGTCGAACATTGTGTCGAAAAGGTGAAAGAGGGTAGCGAAAAGTTATTCATCATCCTTGCAGTACTTATGCCAACGCAGGATTACTTACAAATAATTGCACCATTTTACCCGCCTGATAATAAAATCGACGAAAGCAATGATGAAGAAAGGATGAAAGGAAACAGAGCATTTGCAGTTACCCAAAGTTTGAAATACGCCACCGGTCAGGTCCTCCCAACTATCATTACCTACTGCAAGGGTGATTTTTTGGGTCGAGCCTTGGAGGCTCTCTATTACCATTTTTACCACACTCCTGAAAACAAGTTGAGTGTTTTCATTAACGAGTTATCGTCGAAAGCAGTTTCGGTGCGGAAACATGCAATTTTCCTAACTTGTCAAGTAGCAACAGTCCGAGATACCCAAAATCTAATCAAAAAATACCTCGAGAAGGAACGTAATATCTCGGTCCAGAAACATTTATTTACTGCAGCTTTAAAATATTTCATTAAAAATCCTTCTGAAGATTTCTGGCAATGTGTCAATATTTGTATGACGAATTTAGACAAAAATGACAATGAGAGCTTCGATCTGTTGGTCGACGTTGATAAAATACCCCAAAAATACAAAGCGAGACATGTAATGTTCGTTTGGGAAATGTTAAAAATATCGGAGGATTTGGCCCCGAAAAGGACAAGTCTCTTATCGTCAATCCCATCTGACGTTTTTAAAGACTTTCCGATGCATTTTGTGACGGAAATTATCACAAACAATTTCCTACAAAGCGACTCCAAGTGTAAAAACTCGATTAATGATTTTGTTATTTTGTGCATTATTCACACGGGGTACACAACCGACATTATGAATATAATTTTCGATATTTTGAGTAAAGTTAAAGCCGCCACTTATGCAACTTTCGCAGAGGAAAAAACCGCGCGTCAATTGATTTTACGTTTTGTTGGAAATTTCGTTTCGATGATGGAAACAGATGAAGATAATTACCAAATCCTCCAATTATTTTCCGAACGTTGGCATGGCCTGTTTGGGGTGGGTGAAGCGATTCAAGAACACTTGAAAATCTCTTTTGCGATGTTTAACCTTGAAGCAAAGAAAGATTTAATGAAATTTAGTAACGCAATTGCTGAATTTCTCAATACATTAGTACCAAAATACGGTATTGTTATTGTGAATGCTTTTGCGTCTGAATTGAAAAATGCTTTGTCTTCGTTTTTGCGTTGTTACGGTGATTGGAATGAAGATTTTTACACGTTTTGTTTCAATTTGTTGAAAAACTGGAGCGACTTGACGATTTATTTATTAGTTATTAAACTTTTGCCAACTAAAGAGCCTTCACAAGACGAAACCAAAGTCTTGTTCAAAGAAATCGTTGAGAGACTAAAACAAGTTCCTGATGAGTCTATTCAATTGTTGATGAACCTTTATATAACAAATATGGATTAGAACAGTTGTTTACTTGTTAAGCGCCAAGTTATTCTTTATTTTCATAACATTGTTAAAGGATATTTAATAAAGTTACATACATAAATACAATTGTTGTTTATTTTGCGACAACAATATGATTAAATATAACATAGTAGATAAAATATGAATAACAATGAGTTGGAATTAACAATGGAAATGTTTCAGTAAAGTCGTTAAAAAATTAAAATTGCACGCATTAAGCAAATCAAAAAGCATGACAAAATTTTTGGCACTTGATGAATTAAACAAAATAATGAACTTTGGTCGTTTAATAAACTCTAAACATGAAATTTTAAAAAGCTACGACTAGAATCTGCAACTAAATATTAATTATGGCGTAAAAAGAGATTACTGATTAATTTATTCTGCCATTTGGAGTAAAGAATTGATGGTACCATCTTTATTGCCCCTATTAGCCTCAAATACCGTTTTAATCACTTCTTTATCAATATTTGGAAACATTTCCTCAATCTGTTTGAGCTCAGACTCACTCAATGCAGGTGCACCTTCAGTAGGTGGTGCAGTATATACTTTCAAAGGTGTAACATTACCACCTGTTACATTAGGTACCACCATTACGGGCGCCGGTGGTTGATATTTATATGAAGGAAAAACTAGATAACTTAAAACGAGATTAACCATTCCTTCTACACCTTCACCTTGTTTCCCATTCAAAGGATACCAATCTTCATGAGTCTCTCCTGCAAGGACCTGTTGAGGGATCTGGAATTGAGTCCAGGCGATTAATTCGTCCATCGTAAATGAGCGTTCATCAAATATTTCTAACGTTATGGTATTGATGCCTTGAGGCAACAAACTAGAAATAAAAAAGTAGGTAACTTGCCACTTGCAAGTTATAAATGTTTACCAATGAATAACTTTGTTCCATCGCGGGTTTTTTCCGCCGTTTGGGTCTGTATGCGTTTCGTAAACACAATGACCGACACGAATCCGAGCATAAGGGTCCATCCTAGTCATTCCATAATTTTTTGCGAGCTTCGCTTGAGCAACAGTGATGCTGAGCCTCCCCACGGCATTTGTGTATTGCTGACCACCGCTTAGTTGGTGGTGCAGAGCTATGGCTGTTTGTCGATCTGCAGCTTCCTGCTGTTGCTGCACGGAAGTACTGATACGGAGAAAATCTTCCGGAAGGGGACCAAGAAGAACCTAAGTTTTATCATTCACAAACGATTTTTTAAATAAATTGGAACGTACCCGACTTCGCCTTTCTCTGACTTTGTCTGTTATAGCTGATGCCATATTGCAATATTAATTTAATTAAAATAAAGACGCATCAATTCACTGTTTGCGGTGTTTGATGACAAATATTTCCATCAGCTGTTCACGTCAACACACCTGTCACTAACATCAACAGTGGGGAAAAAATAAAATCCCAATCCAGAATGAAAATTAATTGTTATTAAAATGAAAGAAAAAATAAATTTTGACAAATATAAGTTACTAATAATTCCATTTAATTAAACAGTGTGCCAACAAATGTTTTGGTACAATTTTATTAACATTTAATAAATTTGATTTCAGTGAAAGTATCGCCATAATCTAGAAGCAAATATCCCTAAATTTTGACAACTGTTTTTCAATATGGCGGGGTTTGGTGCTTGTCTCAAATTGTTTTAATTATTTTTTATTATTTCATATAATGGTTGTGTGCCCAGCAGATCATGGCTTGCAGGCCGATATCATTTTTGTTATTGAAGGAACTGCAGTAAATGGTGCTTACATAAATGATTTAAAAACTAATTATATCATCCCATCATTAGAGTAAGTGCTTTTTTATTTTTTTCTGTAACTCTTAATTAGTCTTGCGTTTTTATACTCATTGCGATGTGAAAAGTAGGAACTTGACATTTTCTCATGATGAATACTGAACGGATAGTTGAACGAGGTTTGAGGTACTGAGAAATCAGTGTAACCTTGCTTTGTTATGATAAAATTTACACCCTGACACCAAAAATAATTTTTCCTTAGTTTGTATAATTGGAAATACGTTATTTTAATAGGAAGGTTTTTAGATATTTTAGCCAGGGAAGTATTGACGAAAGTAATTTTCTATCAGAGGGGATCAATTCTTATTACGGAATTGTAGTATATCAGGCTGCTGATTGTTTACCACACCCCAGTAGTGACACAATTGGGCCCTTTGTAAGCCCCAGTAAAGTATTAAGTGCTATAGACAAACTTGAGTAAGTTGTAAACTAGGAAAAGTGTCATTTATTGTAACAACTTTTTCAGACTTATAGGGGGTAAAGGCGAATCGCATGCAAACATTGCTGAAGGTTTGGCAACAACACTTCAGTGTTTTGATGAGTTGCAACAGAAACGTGACAATAATGGCAATATTCAAAGACACTGTATTCTGGTGTGTAACTCGCCCCCATATTCTTTAGGGGTTTTTGAAACTCATGCTTACACAGGGAAGACAGCAGAACAACTGGCAGCTATTTTGCAAGAAGTAATATTTTAACAAGTAATCGAGCTCGAGATTATAATTTATTTTCAGAAAAATATCAACTTGTCGATTATTTCCCCTCGTAAGATCCCTTCATTGTATAAATTATTCGAGAAAGCCGGCGGCGACTTAAGCGCCTCTCAGACGAAAAACTACGCGAAGGACCCTCGTCACTTGGTCCTTTTGCGCGGCTTCAGCCTGAAGGAGCGTCCCCTGAGCCCCCCTGCCGGTACTACAACAACCGGTCAAACCCAAATCCCTAACACTACCATTCCTATTACATCTCTCCCCAGCCCCTTAGCCAGCAATGACAGCCCCATTTCATCATCTTCATCAGCCAACACCGGTGTTCCTTCGGGAGTCGGCCCATCGCCCGTGTATCGGCCTCCCAGCGGTCAAGGTATAAATCCTCAACACTCACAGAGTATGGTTACACCAGGCATGGTAGGTATGGTGAACGCCCGAGGGGCCATGATGGGCAACAACCCCATGAACATCCCGCAACTGCCCGCACCGCCAGGATACCATCAGGCGAATCGACCCAGATGGCCAGCTATGTTGCCCCCAACTCAGCCCAGGTCGTATTTGCCACCTAACCAACAGGTTAATACCACGCAAAGTAGCGCCCTGATTGCACAGTTGACACAACCCCCGAATTCCATGCCGGGGACGGGCGTTCCCCAATATGGACAAAGTAAAAGAAAAGAAAAATTTTTGAGGAATTTGGGGTAAACTAGGTGTTTTAGTGGGGAACAATTCGCCATTGAATTCGCAACAGCAACAATCCCAAATGAAAATTAATATCATGAATACGCAAAACCCACAACCGAATGTTCAAACGTCGATGTCGCAAAATTCGAACAGTGGGATACAGACCATGTCGCAGGTTTCGCAGTCAAATCAGGCCGGTACTTCCCCAGGACAGGTATTTTTCCAATCGGAAAATAAGTCATTTGCCATTCTCAAAACGATCTATTGAAGTTGTGCACCAAATCCATAGTTTTATTATGTAAAACTATAAATCTTATCACAATTTCAAAAGAGCGCTGTTGGGAATACATATTGTCTGTGCTACGACTACTACTAAAAATTAACTATTAGAGCACTGCCCAACCATCTCAACCACTTGGCCCTGGACGAGAACGTCCTTCAATCTGGCAAGGCCTCCTTGAGTGGATCGAGAAACCCAAAAATCCAACTGACCAACAAAAAATTACCAAACATGTCCCATGTCAAGTCTCGGCGAATTCAAAAGATGGCGAACCTGAATTGTAAGTGTCCCCAACCTCGTTTAATTTCGTTTACATGTTTATTATTTTGCATAGAAAAGCAGATGGTTGGCCCTCAAAATTAATTATGCAACTAATGCCGAAACAACTTATCGGTAACATCGGGGGCGCCTATTTAAAAAATTCAAAATCAGTTTTATTCCACCCTCAACCTTGCGAGGCTTTAGAATCTCTAACGAAAGTCATGAGTTCCGGCTTTGTAAGTGTTTTATCTTTCACCACAAGCTGTAATTAAGAGATTTTAGGCCGGTTGTGTGCATTTTACAAGCACCGCAACCCCCGCCACCTGTGATATCAAAGTTTTAATTTTATTGTACACTGCCGAAAAGCGTGCTTATCTCGGGTTTATCCCCAACGACCAAGGCGCATTTGTTGACCGATTACGCAAAGTGATCCAACAACAGAAATCCACCCAAATTATGCGCCAAACACAAGGCGGCACCGGCCAACCGATGAACCCCCAAACATCCGGTGCTCTCACCATGGGTGGTACACCGCCTCAATTGGGAGGAAGTAATCCCGTGACTTCACAAACTATGTCTCAAACCAACAACATGACTTTAGGTGGAGGCCAAATTACACAAAATATAGTCACCTCAAGTGCCCAAGCTGGTATTTTGGGCCAGAATGTTCCAGGCGGACCTAGGTTGAGAATGCAACAGGTAACTAGTTTTCTTTCAACGCACTCTAAATTAATGATTCTGTAGAACATGCAGCCGGGGATGGGACCACAATCATCACAATCAGCCCCCAATCAAAACATGGCACCGGGAATGATGGGTACGCCACCTCAAAGAGCCCCATTTGAAAATCAGTTGCAAGTAGAAAGACAGCAGAATTTAGAGAAGATTAATCAGCTGAAGCAGACGTTAGAAGCAGCTCAACAACAGGAACAACAATATAAAAGTCAGTTAGAAAGGATAAGTCATATGAAGACGTCACAATTGCAAGAGGCGCTCCAAATCTGTCAACAGAATGAGATGAAATACAAAATTCTTGATGTGAGTTGCGTTTAAGGAAATTATGTTGTGATAATTCATTTTGTAGCAACAACAAAGAATGGCCAATCAAAATAATCCACAAGCTGGAACTGCACAGCAACAACAGAGGATGATGAGACCTGTCATGGGGGCTAATCCTGGCTTAAGACACTTGTTACAACAGGTAAAACTAAAGTAAAAATTACGAAACATACTTAAAATGTTTTTTAGCAACCCCAATACAGACAACAACTGATGAATATGCAACAAATGGCAGGTAACGGACCACGCCCACAAATGAACCAACAAATGCAAAACTCGGGGAATAATCAACAGTCCGGATTTGATGAAGTCTCGTATGATTTTATGTAATCTGATTTTTGTATTGAATATAATTATAACAAAAATGTCTAATAAGAGTATGTCAAGTAATCATACTTTCCTTTAATTATAACTTTAACCAAAGTATTTAAAAAATATACAACTTTATTTGTAGGTAAGCACTTTTAACAATTTTAGAAGCTTTTATAAGTTATACTATAAACAGTTGCTTTTTATTTGCCGTATTTACGGACAATATTTAGAACAAATACAACGAAAATATAGGTATATTGTAAAAAATAATTAAGTGAGTCGTGGGATACCCAGGGCAAATTGGCTGCCGCTTCAAACCACAATATTCTTGGATTGAATACATTTACTCCCTTCTCAAGTTATCTAACCTTGCTTGCAAGTCTGCATCAGCATCTGAAATACCTCCATTTCCACCCGCCGTAGCGGCGGCTGCTGCTGGTTGTTTCTGGCCAGTAGCGGGAAGTGAGCCCCCAGTTTGGGGTAAACCTGATAACTGATCATTCAGTTGCAAGCCTAATTCATCAAGGACTTGATTGACAACAGCATCACTACAAAGAATATATATAAAAAAAAAGTAAAAAAAGAAATGATGTTCGGCAACCTCTCCTCCTCATCCGCATCGCCTTCCATCGCGTCATCAATCGCATCATTCATAATTTCCTCTTTCATATCCATAATCTCCGATTGTTTTTCAAACTCTTGCAAAATCCTCTGAATTTGTGGCAGGTTTAGCTGCCTGTTCATACTCTGCATGGCTTTAGTGACCCCTTTCATGGCTTGTGCCATAGCATTTTGAGACCTGAGCGTCTGAATTTTGAGAGATACAGCTTGAATGTTGGCTTTCATTAGCATAAACTTCTTAACATAGCGTCGGGTACGCACCAAATCGCGGGCCATTATTTTAACAGCATCCTAACAAATTCTTACAAACTTTACCAATTTGTTGATGGTAAAATGAGACTCACCATTTGGCCCTCTTTCGCTAATTTTTTTATGTCATTTATGACTTTTTTCTCCTGTTGTTCCATCTTCATTTTTTCTCGGTCCAAATCGCGCATTGCTTTATTGAGTGCTCGCTGGTTTTTCCGGAGCATTTCCTCGGGGGTTACGCGTTTACCGAATAGCCACTCCATTTTGGTAAAAAGTTTTTTTAAACAACCACAAAATACTCCTAAATTGTTAATTTATTTACTAAATTCAGCTGTGACTCATTTGTGCTTTTGACAACTGACATATGTCAAAACAAATTAAAACGGTAATAACAGATCACAATCGTATGTTTTTGTAATTTTATTTAATTGCGTTATTTTTACAGAACAAAGTTACGACTTGAATTATAAAATTAATTAAATTTGTTTTTTTTAAACATTCAAATATTATGCAATTTTAATTTTTTTATAAATTGTGATAATAATTACGTCCTACATTTAGACAAATGGAACCATGTGAGTCAAATTCATTTCTTTCAGACTTTTTTAGTTATATGTTTAATAGTTTGTTGCCTCATATTTATTAATAAAAATAGCGCTTTATTTCTTCGTTACGTTTAGTAATTTATATATTTGTAATAATTAGAAAAATATCGTATAAGTTAAACTTTGACTAAATGTCAAGATCGTGTCAGCTGACCGTCTTGTGACACTTGCACAAATTTGATAATCTTGTGAGTTGGGTTGGTGAGGTTTTAGAAGAAACACGTAAGTTTTTATAATTTTATTAATGAAGTTTTACCCTTTAGACAACCTTTTAAGCCCCTGAAAACCCTCTGAAGTGATCACGCAAAAATAGTATTTAATTTCGCACAAAATATCGATCAGGCAAAGTTTTTAGACGACCCATTTTCCATGTTGAATTTCAATTATAATCATTGAACTTTACTCTCGCCAAGTTGTAATTGCCCTCAAATTGACGTATTTTTGCAAGTTTTAAATAAATGCAGCCCCCTTGATGTGGTAAAATTAACAAAATTTGTAGGCGGTTCCTTTGCCAAGTTATCGGATCCCCACTTTAGATCGAGCGGCACACTCACTCCCTTGCGAAATTCACGTGACTGTGTACAAGCCCATATCGCGCTTTGCAACAATAGTGTACCAAACTTCTACTGTTTTCACGTGACTCCTGATAACACTTTATATTTATTTCTCTTTAATATTTTAGTAAAAAATCCATCAAGATGACCTCTCTACCAAAGATGGGTGATGAAGAACGCGAAAACAAATTTGGATACGTGTTCGCAGTATCTGGTCCTGGTAAGTTGTGAAATTTTTTCGAGGTTAGGGGTTACATGGGGGCACTTTTTTAGTCGTTACGGCCGAAAAAATGAGCGGAGCGGCTATGTACGAACTGGTTCGTGTCGGCTACTCTGAACTGGTCGGAGAAATTATCCGTCTAGAGGGTGAAATGGCTACTATTCAGGTATATGAAGAAACTTCAGGTGTGACCGTGGGTGACCCAGTTTTGCGTACTGGCAAACCCTTGTCCGTGGAATTGGGCCCAGGTATTATGGGTTCGATTTTTGACGGTATCCAGAGACCGCTGAAGGATATTAACGAGCTCACGCAAAGTATTTACATCCCTAAGGGTGTTAATGTGCCATCGTTGTCGCGTACGACCAAATGGGAGTTTGCCCCATTGAATATTAAGGTAAAAGTTGCGATTTGTCAAAGTTGGAGGTTTATTAATAGTGATTTGGACACAGTTGGGGTCACATTTGACAGGCGGTGATATCTACGGTATCGTCCATGAGAACACTCTCGTCAAACATAAAATGTTGCTGCCGCCTAAAGCCAAGGGTACTGTCACATATGTGGCCGATCCCGGAAACTACACAGTCGATGTAAGTATTTTTTATAAAAAATTTAAATTCATAATCTTAAAAATAGACTAGAAACGGTTTCAAAATCATTTCTTATGCTTTAGGAAGTCGTGTTAGAAACAGAATTTGACGGCGAGAGGACCAAATACACTATGTTGCAAGTATGGCCTGTGCGTCAACCCCGACCTGTCAGCGAAAAATTGCCAGCCAATCACCCCCTATTGACCGGTCAGCGCGTACTTGACTCACTTTTCCCGTAAGCCCTCTTTTAAAACCCTCAATTTTTGTGTAATAAAGTTTTGTGTAGGTGTGTGCAAGGGGGTACCACCGCCATTCCTGGCGCTTTCGGTTGTGGCAAGACTGTAATCTCCCAATCTCTCTCCAAATATTCCAACTCTGATGTCATTATCTACGTCGGTTGCGGAGAGCGTGGTAACGAAATGTCTGAAGTATTGCGGGACTTCCCCGAACTGACTGTCGAAATCGAAGGCCAGACCGAGTCTATCATGAAACGTACCGCTCTTGTAGCTAACACTTCCAACATGCCGGTAGCTGCCCGTGAGGCTTCTATTTACACCGGTATTACTTTGTCTGAGTACTTCCGTGACATGGGTTATAACGTGTCGATGATGGCCGATTCGACCTCACGTTGGGCCGAAGCTTTGAGAGAAATTTCGGGTCGTTTGGCTGAAATGCCGGCCGATTCCGGGTATCCGGCTTACTTGGGTGCTCGTTTGGCTTCGTTCTACGAGCGTGCCGGGCGTGTCAAATGTTTGGGTAACCCCGATCGTGAGGGTTCGGTGTCTATCGTCGGAGCTGTGTCGCCTCCTGGTGGTGATTTCTCTGATCCGGTCACGTCGGCTACTTTAGGTATTGTACAGGTGTTCTGGGGGTTGGATAAAAAACTCGCCCAACGTAAACATTTTCCATCGATCAATTGGTTGATTTCCTATTCTAAATATACGCGAGCTTTGGACGATTTCTACGATAAGAATTTCCCAGAGTTCGTCGCGTTGCGTACTAAAGTCAAGGAAATCTTACAAGAAGAAGAAGATTTGTCCGAAATCGTGCAATTGGTCGGTAAGGCGTCCTTGGCAGAGACCGATAAAATCACACTTGAGATTGCGAAATTACTAAAGGAAGATTTCTTGCAACAGAACTCGTACTCGTCTTACGATAGATTCTGTCCGTTTTACAAAACGGTGGGTATGTTGAAAAACATGATCGGTTTGTACGATATGTCTAGACATGCTGTCGAAAGCACTGCTCAGTCTGAAAATAAGATCACGTGGAACGTGATCAGAGATTCCATGAGTAATATTTTATACCAGTTGAGCAGTATGAAATTTAAGGATCCCGTCAAAGACGGCGAGGCGAAAATCAAAGCAGATTTTGACCAGCTGTATGAGGATATTCAACAAGCCTTCAGGAATTTGGAGGATTAAATTAGTTTTTCTGTAGGCCGTATTTAACCTCACTTTTAAAAATTGCCGTCTTTCGATATTAATGTACAATATGTTTATACACATAAATTAGTTCATAGGTTGATAAATCCTATAGATTAGAGGTGAGGGTTAAATTGCTAAATTTCGTCCCTTCATTCCAGTTATTTTTAAGGAATTTTTATTTTTCATGTTTCCGTGAGTTTATCAGCTTTTCCAGTATTATCGGGACCTTTTTTCTTTACATTTTATTTTTTCGTTATTTACGCATATTTCGATGTTGTATATTTTACCATATTATTCAAACGGCTAATTGTACAGTTATCTATGTTAAGTGATTTAGCTATATAGAAAATAGCACAATAAATTGTTTTATTGTAAACAGAAATAAATGCATTGTTGTTTCATAACGGGTTTTATTGTTTATAGTTAAAATACAAAATTAAGTTTTTATTTTGATGCTCTTGGAGACGCTTGCTTTAATCCCTGAAAACTCTCCACCATACCTCGTCATTTCCGTTCGCGGTTCACGTACCTAAAAATACAACAAATTAAACTTGTCAAAAAGATACACCAAAAATAAACGTACAGCTCCTCTCCTTCGTATTTTTGCTTTTCTAAACTTGTTCCTATGTTTTACTCTTGGATTTCTTTGTTCCTTCTTTCTGTGCGGCGTTAGACCCTTATTTTTGGCAATTTGGTAAGTTATAGCCCTCTTACCAGAATCTAAATTAACAAAAAATTAATAAATAAAAACACAAACATTAAGAATTAAACCATTTTCTGGAACATTTGCCTCTTCATCCATTTCCTGTTCATTATTAGGTGCCTCTTTTTCATCCACGTCTGGATTAAATTGTACTTTTTTGCTTCCTGCTGGTTTCTTTTTATTGTCTTTCTTTTCAGTTTTGTTGACCAATTTGCTCAAGACCTTTAATGTTTTTTTGGGAACTTCTCTGTCTTCTTCATTTAAAAGCAACTCAATTTGAGGCTTAATCACCTCTTCAAAAACTGGTGTCATTTGTGATAACAATTGCCTGTATTGGTACAAACGTTTTATGACTGGGTGATTTTGCATGTTAACTCTTGAAGCTTTCAATAACAAATACATATTGATGTTGACACAGTAACTACAATTATGTGAATCAGGAGAAATCATAAAATAAATTGAGAAAAATACTTTAAAATTAATTCGTGATGAGTTTCCACAAACTCCATTGCAGAGCAATTCGAAATTTGTCCCTTTTTATATTGAACCAACACTGGTTTAAGAAAATCTCTAGCAACGATCATTTTTTCCTCAAAATCTTCAACAAGGCCAAAGAATTCTGGGGATTCCTTTTGCAGTATTTGCAATTTTTGCCTTTTACTTAATTTAGAAATGTCACTTTTAATCAGTTCTTCTGATACTTGCTTATCTTCCTCAGTAACCTAATCACAATTTAGTCAGAAGAAAGAAAGACTTAATTGCAATTACCTTTTTTGCGGGCACGTCCAAACAAAAATCATCATCATCTAATTGTTCAGCCAACTGCTTCTGCAAATTTCTTGCTTCTTCTTCTTCCAATTCGGCCAAATGTGCATCCTTACCTTGGAAGCCCCCATAGTCAGGGTCTACGTAGTCCGTCGAATAAAACTTCCTTTTCTCTTTACCCCACGCCCTAATATCAGGCAAATCATCTTGATCTTCTTGTCCTTCAACGTCACTTAACGCAATATCGCTTTGATCATCTTCTTCATCGTCTGTACCAGAACCCACACCAAAAACTTCCCCCTACAATTATTTAGTAACATTAAAAATATAAAGTATTCCTTTCAAGCGCACTTCACTATCTGAGTCTTTAGGTAGCTTATTTCTAACTTTCTTCAAGAGAATTTTCTCATTTTCTGTGTAATCTTCATCAGAATCAGAAGGGTTGTAATCACTTTCATCTTCGTTAAATCTATAAAAGGAATTAATGTGCGACAAGTTTTACAAAAACTATACCTTAAATGGGACGACATTCTGCTTTTTAATCCTTAAAATAACTTTCAAAATTTCAAATTTAACCTTAACCTAAATGTTGCCCACATGTCTGAATTGAGGTTATGTAATATAATGACAGAGCGGGAAAATCAAAACGTAAATTGTTGTAATAGACAAGTTGAAATCAAACTGGATTTTTGTTGATATTTTTTAGTAAAAATATTACAGCTAATTTATTTACGTAGAAATAGCCAAAATAAGGTATAAATGCTAATACAGTATTTTTTTAAGAGTAAAAAATGAGCACAATGGAACTGATCGTGTCCTTGAATTAGCGCGACGCGCGTTGACAGATGTGTGAAATGTGATGGAATTATTATTTTTCTTGTAACTGCCACTTAATTATTGTTATTTTCGGTTAATTTCACATATTTTAATCATTAAAACAATGTGGCATGAGGCAAGAAGGCAAGAACGAAAAATTCGTGGCATGTTGGTGGATTACCGGCGAAGGGCTGAACGACGCCGAGATTTCTATGAAAAAATCGTATTTTTTGCTTTTTCGAAACGTAACGCTCGAATCTACTTGTTGCTTTTTGTAGAAAGCCGATCCAACTCAATTTTTACAAATCCATGGAAGACAATGCAAGATTCATTTGGACCCCTCTATAGCAGCTGCTGCAGACAGTGCTTCAGCAATGTAAGCCCCCATAAACGAAATATTAGACCGATCAGGCGACGATTAATTGATTGTAGGATGCCATGGCAAGGACAAGCGGATAATTTAATTGACCGTTTTGATGTAAGAGCACATTTAGATTTTATACCACCTGTTAAAAAGGAAGAAGAGGAAGAATTGACCTTTGAAGAACGCCAAATTAATTACGAACGGTACAGGATCATTGCCCAAAATTCGTTTCTTAGCATCAATGAAGAGAAATTTTTGAAACAATTACACTTGGAAGAACAGTTTGGCTACACTGAATCTAAATCAAAGAAGGAGCAAAGAACTGGAGGTGCTAGTATTGGGTTCAACTACGAGGACAACACTGGTAGGTGTTAAACATGCAACTGAGGAAAAGATCAGACAGAATTTTTAGCACAAACCTTGGGGCCAGATTATAACAATGACGATGAATCAGATGGCAATTCTGATTCCGATTTAGATGTTGACTTGTCTATAAATGTTTCAAAAATGGATTCGGTGCAAGCACATGAGATGAATCGTCACGGCAGAAATTTTGGAATGAGCTCAAATGATTTTTATTCATTTCTTACTAATGATCTTGAGGAGGCTGAAAGTTTCCGACTTGCCAAAGAAGAAGAACATGAAAAAGCCTTATTTTCAGGACGAAAATCGAGAAGGGAGCGCCGGTAATTTCCCACAATAAACAGTATTTTTTCTAATCATTTTTATAGAGCCCATAGGGAAAAACGTTTGGCTAATAGAGTCATAAGCCCTCCTAGTTATGCCGCAAGGACATCACCTACTTATCCTTCATTTAGGAAGAGTAAATCGCCTTCAAAATCACCGACGCCGGAAAATAGCGGGAAAATTACGTATATTACGTCTTTTGGCGGTAATTACCCTACAAAAAAAGATTATGCGTAATAAACCTTGTTATATTTAGATGAAGAAGAAAGTCCTTCTACTAGCAAACCAAACAGTAGTGATAAAACAAAGGCTAAGAAGAGAAGAAGAAATTCAAGTTCCGAAAGAACTGTATATATTAGAAGAAGCTACAGCAAAGATAGAAATTATAAAGGAAGAAGATCAAGGAGTAGAGATTCAAGAAGTCGCTCAAGGGCAAGGCGGAGAAGTAGTTCGAGGGATCGGTGAGTCTATTGTTGACATAAAAATTTAAATTAAATTATTTTTTAGATACAGGAAGTCACGATCGCGTTCTAGAGGCCGCAGCCGCAGTTATCGTCGAAAACGTTCCAGCAGTTCTTCATCTGTGTCTTCATCTTCGACTTCTTCATCTTCATCCAAGAGTAAATCTCGTTCTTCGTCGCCGAAGTATCGCAAAAAATCATCATCATCTCGCTCTCCCAGTCCTGTGAAAAAATCAAAGTCAAAAAGCCCCGAGAAGAAAGAATCGCCTCCTAAAATCGTTTCTCGATACTACGGAAGGAAGAAAAGTGACCAAAGTTCGTCGGAATTAAGCGATACAAGCATCAAGGATGAGGAAATGAAAGTGGCAAATAGCCCGTTAGTTTTAGGGTATTTAAAAAAAAAATCTAGTTTGTGTTCTTATAGGGTCAACACTGAAAAATGGTCTGGCTATGGTAATTCTGGCTCCGTGACCAAAGTCAGTAAGAATCACTTAATTATTGTTTTTCCTAGCCATTTATTATTTATTGTTGTCATTTTTGTTCTTTAACAAAATTTCAATGTGCGTGTTTATTTCTTTTTCATTTATTAAAAATTTTTAGTTAAATCTGATGCAATGTTTACAGAAAACTGGTCAGAATTTGAGTATTCAAGAGCGCCTTAAACGGAAACGCCAAGCCTTATTAAATAAACAATGTAATAAATGAAATTGGAAAAAATCGGTAAATTAATGTTGTAAACGTTCTAGTCAAAGCTGATAAAATCGCGGAACAATTAAAGACAGAGCGGGAAAAACAGGAACAGCAGACCAGAGAGCATGAGTTGCGCGAAATGGCAATCAAATTGCGTCGAAGGTAAAATAGTATTTGTCACAAAAACAAATAAGAAAATAAAAATTTTAGACAAAGAGAAAAACGTCACGCTTATGATAGCAATAAAAGCTCAAACAGTTCTGATTCTGATTCTAGTAAAAGTAAAAGTCCGCCTCCCACAGTTGAAAATAGAGAAGATGAATCGCGAGCAATAAAAACACGAAGAAGGTAAATACTAATCAATTAAAAAAATAAAATATTAGGAGTAAATGATATTTTTAGACAAAGGGAAAAACGTCACTCTTCAAGTAGTTCTGAATCTGACTCTATCAAAAGCAAAAGTCCGCCTCCTCCGACGCAAAATGTTCCAACTTACAATTCCTACAAAACCGAAAATAAAACAAGAAGTCCCAGTCCACATGCAAGCAGAAGAGACGATTACCGAGAATCGAGAAGAAGAGATACTAGTAGGGAAAGAAGAGATCACAGTCGTGATAAACGCTCATCAAGGTCACCAAGAAGGTGCAATGATAAGAAAACTGTATACAGAGATAGAAGGGACAGAAGAAGAGATGATTATGAACGGGACAGGGATTATAAAAGAGATAGTTATGATCGGGAACGAGATAGAGACAGGAGAGAGGAACGTGGTAGCCGCTCTTTAGTGGATTACTGATTTAAATTATGATAAGTTTTTGTTTGTAATAAAATTATTTAGTAGAGCCCACACAAGTAATTTTTTTGGAAGGGTAAGTGATGTAACACTGCGTATTGTAATAGTTAAAATGTGAGAAAATAAAGGTTGAGGCGGAATGGGTGTTTTATTTATTCTCTCTTGAAAAAATTAATTCATTTGAACCAGAATGATTTTGTTGGCTTTCGTTTAATAAACACTTTAAAATCATTAGATATTCTGATTTCACAAAAGGCACAAATGACTAAATGCACAATTCCGTAATTTTCTTCTAAAGTTTGCCGATCGATTTACTTGCCACAAACGAGGACCCTCTTGAGATTTGTGAAGAAAACCAGTGTTACTAGATTTGATTACATACTCAGAAATTAACAACTGTGTTTATGCTAAAACAAAAAATATAGCTGGTTTGCTGTTAGAGCTCGTTAGTAAGCTCCATGTTCGTCCTGAATCAATAAACATAAAAGTAGCAATAAAACCACAAGAAGAGTATTTTATTTTTTCTTTATTTAGTAAAACTCCTTTGAGCGACCGGATCGTCCTCGTTCACAGTCTAAACATGTCGTGGTCGAGACCGGACTGTTTGCAAAAAGGGAAAACCGCGAGCCCTTGGGGACTCGTCCTGGCAAAATTACATTCTTCCAGATCTCCCCACCTGCCGCCGGCTCCGAATACGCCGCAGGACTCAGGATCAAACAGGACAACTACACCACAGGTATGCTACATTTACAGTCGAGTTTATTATTTGATATATTTCTCGGTTATATCTCCCGACGTAAATAGAAATAGACCAACCGAATGTGGAATAATAAACGTTATGAAATATTTTTACAAAATGAAAACAAACCTTGCAGATCATTATTACGAGTAAATACAAACGATAACACTATCTTCTTAAACATCAGCAATTATAAGAAAGGTATCAGAGTAAAACAGATTAAATCATGTTGAGTCGGTTTTTGATATTCTTAATTATGGGATTGTCCACCAAGTGTGATAATCCTGGAACGGTAACATTTGGCACAGAGGCCACCACGCCACCTCATCCATTCAACTATTGGGAATATTTTCCACAAGCTTCTGATGTTGATGAAGGTAATTATGGTGATGCCGAATGCTACATCGAAGGAAATTTTAGAGAAACTTAACTTCTAAGAGATGTTATTGCAACTTTTGATGCACAAACTGTTTTTTATGATTTTCACAATTTTCGGGGAAGTGTAACACGCATAAGATTACTGAATTTTGGGAGATATCACGGTGCAACGAAAGTTCTTCATATTTATAATGACAAAGATGGAATTGGAAGTTCCAATATCGAAATTGCTATATTTTCCGGAAAAGGGATAACAATGATTTGTGAAATTTATGGTTACAGTTGTATGTTTTTAATTTTTATGTAATAAATTTCTAAGCTGGTAATGAAATAAATACATGAACAAAAACACGATTAAACCCGTCACACCAAAGTTTTATTTCAAATACAACGCGTTTTAACCACAAAGTGATCATCCTCAGGTGAGAAAAAAACTAACTAATTTAACAATGTTAATGCCTTATATACTAATTTTTTCGACTTTCACTTTCCCTACCCCTAACTAACAAGTTGAGGGGAGAAAAAGGAATGGGGCCTTGTGTTTGAAATAAAAGTTTGGTGTGACGGTGTTTTTGTTCATCGTTTCCATACCAAGAGGATCCAGTAAGAAGTATATTGTTCAACTAAATATAATCTTAAAAAACATGTTAAATTAAATTAAAAAGTAACTCACAAGACTGTTATCTCATTATAACACACAAAATAAGGATTTTGTTTCAACAAACTTTAGAAAATGATTTAGAAAAAAGTTAAAATCAACATGAATTCTGAAATAGGAGTACTTCAATAATACTTTAGATTTTTTGCTTGAAATATTTTTTTAAAACCTAATAATTAGGAAATAAATAAAAGCATCATTTTGAATAAAAAAAATATATTTACTTGAACTAAGAGGCCTCCGGAAATGATGAAATTTAGATGAGTATACTTACAGATAGTAGGTTCATAAGTATTTTAAATACTTTCTAGAAAAGTAAATGGGTTTGTGGAGGAAAATTAGGCAAGAATTGTAAATTTTGAAAAAATCGAATAGAAATCAACTATTTTTTATTTTTATTCAGTTTTTGGATACACTTTTAGTTGCAATTTATTATATTAAATAGACAAAATAGTAATGTCATCGTTTTTATTTTTATTTTATCACCTGATAGGATACGATAGCTTTCTTATCAGTTATTTGGTTTTAGATTTACTAAATCGGGCGAAATCGAGATAAGTGCACAAAAAACGAGTAACCCCTTGATAAATATAAAAGGACTACAATTTTGATTTTGATTTAATGAATTAAAATTATTGTTTTAAAAGTCAAAACTCCACCGCATCCCATTGACTAAAAATCGAGGAAACAAAATATAAGCCGATTCTTGACAAAAAATCTTTGCAAAAAATACGATACACGCGTCTTTGAACTCCTTTTGTAGATAATATGAGGCAAGTAGGTCAGGAATTACTTAAAAAACGCAATTCCGACCTTTCCAGTATAGCCATAGATAATCCCAAGGTAAGTATAATTTTAAAGTCGGTGCTTTTTGTTTTGTTTTATGTTTTTATCAAATTTATTGCTATGTCGAGTTACGTATATTTTCTGTTAATTGTTGAGTTAGGTTTGAGCATTAATTAGTTGATCAAAGTGATGAAACAAAGTAATTTATGTGATATTTTTGTTAATTTTCCTTGTGTTTTACTTCCCCTCTGTGATAATTACGCACCCCAGCACCGTTGTTATTTATAATCCATAACGGCTGCAGTTGTAGGGCCAAAGCGACAAACTTTCGAAATTATTTATACAAACGCGCGGGATCAGGTGGGCACGGCCAGTAAGAAAAGCAAGGATGGGGTTTTTAGTCTCGGAGTGCGAGCCAAGAGCAGGACCTCGAGGCCCCCAAGGGACTCGTACGGCCTCCTTGACAGCCCCATTCGCAAACATACACCTTCCTTTCCGCGCCTCTCACACGCTCAGAATGTGACACCGCACGACTGCGGTTTCATTATCATTTCATTGCGAAAAATTTTCTCGGTTTTTAGACAATTATTGACGTGAAAAGCGACCAACGAAAGAAAATTTCATTCGGCCTTTCAATCCCAGGCGGAGCGAAAATAAAATAAATTTATTAAGCACACACGTCAGGGGCGTCGATTTCCGCATCCTGAAAGAAACAAATAGCTCAAGTCCCTCTGTCCCAGCACAATATTCGGCTTGTGCCGCCGCGGCCCATTCAATTATATCGCTGTCGGAGCCGATCGGAACGAATTTGTTATCAATATGCTTTATTGTTTATGCTTTTTTAGACCAGACAATGCCCTGAAACGGCTGTTGCGCAAAATTAAACGCGGAGAAATTGGAGTACCACAGACTAATCTTAAAAAAAAATCATTAAATAAATATCTAAGCCATTACACAAGCACAAACTGTGTGAATGCGAAGATTTATTATCAGGTGTAAGGCGCTCTGAAATGTAATCTATCAATTTTCTAAGTTTAAAAATAATAAGAGTATGAGACATAAAACTAAAAAGATAAAATCAGACGATGGGAACTTCGTGTACGTGACCTTATCTTATTTGAGATGATCTTGTAGGCGTTGTAATTGATTGATTGCTGTAGCACATTTCTATGCGTTAATTAATTTTCTTTCTCTTTCTACACTGACCCAACTCGAAAAATGTGTGAATTTATGTTATTTTTACGAATATTTAGCCAATTAAAATTTGTGGAAAAACCTTCACAATTCGCTGCAAACCGTCTAAATTAATCAGATTGCAACAAGCCGCCGTGATTGGTCCCTTCGTTTTATCAGCGAAGGGTGCATGTCAGTGGCCATTTAGCAAGGGTTCGATTTCTTGTCCGTCGCTCCAGACAGGGACATGCGGTGGAGGGCTAGAGAACTTAGGACAGCGGCCAGGCCGGACATGAATAATGCATACCGCAGATGTGGAATACGTGTAAGCCCCAAACCCGACCTTCCATCCCTTGCCCCGTGGCTAACTTGCCCCTTCCTGACAAGCCGTCTTTGAATCCTTCAGCCCAGATCACACAGCCGAATCGAAATCCCGACGATTGTAAAACAACACACATTAACATAACATATGTGCGACGTTATGTTACATGTTTGCGAACATTGCGCCTGGTTTATGAGACGATTTCTGTCTAAAAGATGTCCTCGTACGAGGCTCGAATAGTAATGTTTGGCAAAACTTCTATTCTTAAATAATGATAGTACCTCACTTTTGTTGAAGTTCAGGTTAGTTTTTGTTTTTGTTGCAATAATAATTGATCGGGTGTAATTCCGGCTTTTGGGTCTAAATAGAGAGGATTCAGTGTAATATTTCGGATACTGCTGCCCGATGTCGTCTCTGACGGATCTGATCTAAATTAGTTAAATTTGCATGGAATTTCTCACACTATTCTATGACCAACAGCTTGTTTCGTATTGGTGAATTGTCAGTTGTTTGATAAATATGTATACCTAGTCCTGAATAATTTAATTAACATTTTAAATCAGTTGTGGGGGTTCCCTTTTTAATGAGATCATTTTCTTGGTGTGGATATTTTTGTAGGGTACCTCAAGACTGAAAATAATTACCTTTCTTATTTCTCCGGAATTAATAACTAGATTTGTCTTCATCAAAATTCATGACACAGTTATTTGAGATCACAAGACGTAGCAAGGGGATGATTTAGTTACATCTTTAATTATTACTTTGTTGTTATGTATCGCTGACTTGTAACTTTGCGTGACACAATTTTCCATTAAAAATTGCTTTCATGACCTAACATTGTATTGTTTTCTATGATATCTATTAATCCCATATTAATAACACTTGCTCAGCATGATTGCCACGAGCACACAAATGCTAAACAAGCAAAAAGGATTTCATTCTTAGAAATTCGTCTTTTGTACTTTACTGTTTTACATAAAGAACGCTCTTATAATGTGGGACGTCTGTTTGCCTAAGGATCGAATTACATCCATTTACTTCCACTAATAAAACAGTCATTATTAGTGGTTATAAGAACGCAGAGCTTTTTCTTTCACGTGTCAATCTCATGGTCTTTATTTTCAGAGAGTCTACATATGACCAAAAATCTAGTTGATTGGGACTGGTGGAAACACGCCTCTTTCTACCACATCTACGTCAAGTCTTTTAAAGACAGTAACAATGACGGAATCGGCGATATTCGAGGAATTGTCGAAAAACTGGACCATTTTTCAGAATCTGGAGTTGATGCAATTTTTTTATCTCCAATTTTTGCGTCTCCTCAAATCGATCAGGGTTACGACATTAGTGATTTTTGCGATGTTGACCCAATTTATGGTTCATTAAACGATTTGGAGGAATTAATTCACAAAAGTCATGACAGGGAAATTAAACTTCTTTTAGATTTTGTACCAAACCATACAAGTGATCAACATCAATGGTTTATTGATTCTGTAAATGGTATTGAGGATTATAAGGATTATTATGTTTGGGCTGATCCTCAATTTGATGAACAAGGAAACAGAAAACCACCAAACAATTGGGTAAAATTGACTTTTCAAAAATTCGGTTTAATGTTTTGTGTAGCTTAGTGTCTTTGATAATTCAGCTTGGGAATGGAATGACAAGCGTCAACAGTACTATTTCCATCAGTTTGATGTCACACAACCTGATCTCAATTTCTACAACCCTAAAGTAGTCAAAGAGATGAAAGTTAGTGTCTTCGTTTAGATTAAATTATTTCTAAACAGATTTTTAGGACATTTTATTATTTTGGCTTGATTTTGGCGTAGACGGGTTTAGGGTCGATGCAATTCCTTACATTTTTGAACACCAAGATCTTCTCGATGAACCTAAGTCACATTTTCCAAATTGCGACCCAACCAATTTTGACTACCTTCAACACATTTACACTAAAGACCAGAAAGAAACCTACGATCTTATGCACGAATGGCGAAAACTCATCGATGACTATAGTCAAAAACACGGTGGTAATGCTAGAATCCTAATGACTGAAGCTTACACCACCCTTCATAACACAATGCTTTATTTCGGTACTCCAGATGGGAGCAAACTTGGGGCTCACTTCACATTTAATTTTAATCTGGTTGGTGACGTACAACGATGGGCTTCAGCTTACGATATTGTTGAATCTATCAATAAGTGGCTTAGAGAAATTCCAGAAATATATGCTTCGAGTTGGGTTTTAAGCAATCATGATAATCACAGAGTGGCCACACGATGTGGCTCTAAAAACGTCGATGGTTTCAATATGTTGAAAGCCATACTTCCAGGCATAGATGTAACTTATTATGGAGAGGAAATTGGGCAAGAAAATGGTGAAATTTTATTTGAAGAAAATCAGGATATTAAAGCTAAAACGTGGGATTTGTTTCAAAGATTGGGTCGGGATTTTGAAAGAACTCCTTTTCATTGGGATGATTCTAATAATGCCGGGTTTAATGATGGGGCTAAGCCCTGGTTGCCTGTCAGTAAAAAGTACAAAGAAACTAATTTAAAGAAACAAAAAGAGAGTGAAGGCTTAAGTCATTATAAAATTTTTCAAGCTTTGAATAAAATTAGAAAAGATCCGGTATTAATTTCGGGAAACGTGTTGATTAAAGCTCTTAATGAACATACAATTTTTGTAAAACGGAGCTACAATTGTGCATCAGTTATCCTTATTTTCAATAAAAGTGAATACGAAGTATTTGTAAATGTGGATGAGGACATTTCGACCAAAAATTGTATTGAATTGAAAAGTGTTGACTCTTCTCGAGAATTAAAGTAAGTGCAAATAAAAAATATTCAATTTTCTCAAAAATATTTTAGGAGTGCCATAAATCCTTCTGCAATACAATTAGAACCTCATGAAGCCTTGCTTGTTTTCTGCTGAGCACTACTTTTTTTTTCAATTTTTTTTCTTGTATTTAGTGTGTGTTGTTAAAGTTGAATAAAAATGTGTAGGAATTCCTGCTTTTTTCTTTTACCAACGTTAACAATCTGTACTTATCAAACTTGATGATGATTATTACAATTAACCAAGAATTATTTAACATTGAAAACTTTCAAGGTCTGGCTATTATTACATACTCGTAACTTCTGTACTAAGTAGGTAATTTAAGATATGTGTATAACTCGGTGAGACCCGACTAAAACATTTCATGTTTTGTCACATTATCATCATTATTATAAGATTTAATTAAAAAAAATTGCATTCTTGTAATTTCTGATACTTGATGGAAAAGTACTTTTAACTAGTTTTCACACACTTAAACCTACTTGAAATAATTGTTCTCATTAGGCTAATTGCTGAAACACAAAACTGTTGACATCTTATAAATTATTTATTATTTACATTAATTTTTTGCTTTTAAAAAGTCAAAAAATTTGATAATAATAATTATTATTGTTATTAGCATGTTGCGATCGTGCAGAGACCGAAGTCTGTTATGCCCGCGCTAACAAAGATAAAGTGCCTTTATGATGATGATTAATAAAATCAGTGTTAATGTCAACGCGTGATAGAATTTTACCTAACCAGTTTTAGTCGTAGTCAAGTATTTCAAATCTAATCTTGGATCAATATTACGTGTCCTACTACTACTATAAAAGTCCAGCGTGAGTGTTTGTGTTTAGTTATTAACTACAATGCAGTTCATAATCTTACAATTAGTGTTTCTTTTCGCAATTTGTTTAGCAGCAAACGCTGCTACTATGAATAAACAAATTCGCAGTTTAGATTGGTGGCAACATGCCAATTTCTATCAAATTTACCCACGATCATTCAAAGACAAAAATAACGACGGCATTGGCGATCTTCAGGGAATCATCGAAAAACTGGATCACTTCACAGATGCTGTAATCGATGCGGTTTGGCTATCACCAATTTTTAAATCACCGCAAGTGGATCAGGGGTACGATATAAGTGACTATAGGGACGTAGATCCAGATTATGGAACAATAGACGATTTGAAAGAATTGATTCAGAAGGCTCACGCCAAAAAAATTAAAATTATTTTAGATTTTGTCCCTAATCACACCAGTGATAAACACCAGTGGTTCATAGATTCGGTAAATGGTGTTGAAGAGTATCGTGATTATTACGTGTGGGCTAACGCCAAAGTTGATGATGATGGTAATAGAGTGCCTCCAAATAATTGGGTAAGTATTTTACGTTTTTCTTGATATTTTTTACTGGATTTTTTTTAATGTTTAGATAAGTAATTTTAAAAATTCGGCTTGGACGTGGAGTGAAGAGCGTCAACAGTACTACTTGCACCAATTTGCTGCAGCCCAACCTGACTTAAATTACCGAAATCCAAAACTAGTGCAAGCAATGAAGGTACTAGACATTTTCTTTTAATCATATGCGATGATTCAAGTTTTGGTCAAATTTTAGGATATTTTGACTTTTTGGCTTGACCAAGGGGTTGATGGTTTTCGAGTTGATGCCATACCCTGTTTGTTTGAAAGTGAAGAACTCCTCGACGAACCCAAATCAAATATTCCGGGCTACAACGACACAGATTATGAATATCTGGACCATATTTACACCAAGGACTTGCCTGAGACGTTTGATATGGTTTATCAATGGAGACAGTTACTCGATGATTATACCACTAAAAATGGGGGCGATTCTAGAATATTTATGACTGAAGCTTACACAGACATAAACCATACAATGCTTTATTATGGAAGTGCCGATGGCAGACAATTGGGGGCCCATTTTACCTTCAATTTCTTTCTGATCACTGACATCAACATTAATTCAACTGCACAAGACATTGTTGATACCCTCAACAAATGGCTAAATGCAATTTCCGAGAATTACACTTCTAACTGGGTCTTAGGAAACCACGATAATCACAGAGTGGCCACTCGATTTGGTGTTGCAAACGCTGACGGTTTCAATATGTTGAAATCTCTTCTTCCCGGAGTTGCTGTGACCTACAATGGTGAAGAAATCGGTCAAGAAAATGGTGAAGTATCGTTCGAAGAAGGCAAAGATCCGAGTGCTCGAGATCCGGCTATTTTCGAAAAAGTTAGTCGAGATTTTGAACGCACACCTTACCAATGGGATGATTCTACTAACGCTGGGTTTAACACTGGAGCCAAGCCTTGGCTACCAGTCAGCGAAAAATATGTTGAAACTAATTTAAAGAAAGAGAAAGCCAATTCTGTGAGCCATTTCAAAGTGTACAAAGCTTTGGCTCAATTGAGAGCTAATCCGACCCTTATTTCCGGAGATGTGACGGTGAAAGCGGTCGATGAGTATACGGTTTTGATAAAAAGAAGTTTTAATGGGTCGTCATTAGCTTTAGTCTTTAATATCGGAAATGATACCACTACTGTGGATGTCGCTGAGGATGTTTCCAAGTCTAACAAAGTTGTTCTTACAAATGTTGATTCTTCTAGGGATACTGGGTACGTGTTTTTGAAGTTTAAATTAAGAAAAATATATTATTTTTAATTTTGTAGGTCTGTCGTTGATCCATCGAATTTGGAACTAGAAGCCCACGAAGCTTTAATCTTATCATTTTAAACCTAGTTATTAAATGAATAGTACGTGTGTGTGAAATAAATTTCGTATATTTGACTAAACGTGTGTTTTTTGTTTTGATTTTGTGTCTCTTTCCCAAAAAGAACTATGTAATATAAAAATGTTTTGTTAATTGTGTTTAATTGGTAATTTATGAATTGTGAGTGTATTTGGGGGTCGTTGTTCTGCATCTGTTGCAAAAGTTGGGTCAGAAAGCACGCCGGGTATATAAAATTGGTTAAATCTATGTAAATGGGGTTTTAAACTATTAATTGAGTAATTTATTGTAGAGATTGTCAATAAAGTTGGTTCGAGAGCTGCAGCGGTTAGTGCTTAGTGCCTTAGCCGTCCCTAAGTGGGTTTGAAGACCTTAACTGCGACCTCAGTGTGCGAAATCCCTTTATAAATTAGTATGCGGTCGAAGAGCACACTAATCTATCCTGGACAATGCGGATGAGGCAATGTTTACTTTGCGGTCCTGCGTCTCTAAGATCCTGGAATAGTCCGGGTCTGTTAGGCCGAGATTGACGAGTTACATTAGCAAATGGCCGCCCCTCATTCCATCAAGATACGCATCAGACAGATGCTCTCGGACAATGGAATTTCTCACTAACAAGACGTTTTGTCTTATATGTAAAACCTGACATCGCGCCCCTTTGTGACCTGTCGAGGGGTGACCAACACGATCTGAATTTAATCTTTGCACCCCAAATTCCAGAGTTGTTGCTGGACCACTTGCCGCTGCACCTTGCTGCTCTCGTTTTGATCTTGTTTGCTGACCCTCGGAGAGGAATCGACCTTTGACCGCGGTCATTCACGTCCTGTCAGATCTGGCTTTTTTAAGATAATTGAGTTTTTGTTGACGGTGATAAAAGTTTTATACTGCTCGGGGGGAATGGGAATAACAAGCACATAATAACACACTTCTCTGCTTTTATTAGCTTGCACGCCGTTCTATAATGTGGAAAGAATATGTGTGGAAACAAATCCGTGTTGTTGGGATTTTTATAGGACATCTGTGATTCCATAAGAATAAAGCGCGACGGCGGTGAGCGCGCGGTAAGGACGACTGGACCAATAGTTGCGGAGGTGGTAATCCTGACGGTAGATCCTCTGCCACATTGCTTAGCATCCGAGCCAAAACTACAGCGCGCTTATACTGGCAAAAATCATACTTTTCTACAAAAACAAGAAAATGTTATAAACAATTAATAAAACGAAAATTTTGAGTTTGGATAAACATTGACTAAACATTGAAACTTTATTTTCCGTGCAGAAATGTGTTGTAAAAATGCATGGTAATGCGAATTAAGGGTCCGATAACTACAAGAATCGTAACAGTAATTTATTATTAGTTTAAACGAAGCGTTGCTTCTTGCGTTTTTATATCAGAACATGTAAGTTTCTTGCATTCTTGTAGTGATAGCGCTGTAAGAGGACAAAACACACGCCCAGAACATTCCAATATAATGTTATATTCTGATCAAGCAATAAAACTGGATGCCACATCATTGTGCGCGCCTTTAGCATGTGAATTAGGGTGTTACGTTCTTTGATTTCTCGGGATAGAGACTCCCGAGCCCATTTTTACTGACCTTCCAGCAGATACAAGACGATACACATCGATGAATTATGCATCGTCTCGGCTGTTTCCCGGTTATAGAAAATGCAATGATAAATTCGTCATTTCCATACAAAAACGTAAAACTTTTCGATTTACGTATTGCTGACGTGGAAGGCGGCCAATTTGGTCGAATGGATGAAAGTAACGCCATTAGGAGCATCCGTGACCGTTTGTCATTCTAGCCACGGAGCGATCATTTCGTGGGTAGAAGCGTGGCCATTAGGTTGGGGGATGACGAGCGGGGGTGGCCATCGATTCCACCCCCCGAACCTCGTTCCGGCACCGGAACATAACATGTGTTCCGCATGCCGGACGCGCCGTTTGATTTCATGGACGTTTTTCCGGAGACGTCATAAAAATTGCCAGCAAACGCGGGGCAGATTTTATAGAATTCTATTCGGATTGTGGAAAATATTAGAAATGAACAGAAAGATTACAATTATTTTTTTTTGTCTTTTAATTATGGCGAATAATCGTTACCACACATTTTTGAAACGATGATATTACATGCCAACAACGTTATGAATAACAACAATGGTTGATGTTAGTGAAAAAATTGGTGTTCTCAAGCTGTTCGTAAGTTTGCTTTTTTTGTTATCGAAGGTAATTCCGGGAATCTTATTTCGTCGATTAATTACGCCCCCGTTCGGCGTTTGGGCTTGGGTTGCTGGACCGAGTATGGGGAAAAAAGTTGGTGGGATAGTAAAGTTGGGCCGTAAAGCGTGTAATAAGGTTCTGGAAAGTCCGGAGATCCGGGCCGGAGCGGGTCAGCTCGCATTACGTTTCGACCCTAAGGAAATAAGGCGAAGATGGTGCGGCAGTTCCCTGACGGCTGATGTATGTTCGGGTTGGCCTATTCCCAGATATTTATTGTGTACTTAAGTGGAACGAGATACGTTTAGACCGGAGCTCTATTATCTAAACAAAAACTGTATCTAAACAGACGCAGACGATTCTATCGAATCGAATGCGACCGCCGTATATATTCACTCTAATTCGTTTATAGAAGCAATTCTGGGGAGTGTTTCTGTCCACCGTCATAAAACGGACGACTTCACACGAGATTCACATGTGATAAGACGTAAATGAAGAATTTACACGACGCGATGTACGCGGTGTTGCAACGGAAAACAATCGCTCCGGACGGCAGTTGGCAGGGATTCAAACAGGAGATATTTTCGATGTTAAATTATTTACCAATGGAATATTAAATAACGGGTGAAAAAATTTGCAAACTGCGGCATTATGAAGCAATTTCGGGAAATATTATTTTACTTTTTAAACAACAATTCTGAGATTCGTTAATAAAAAAGTTTATTTTTTTGGTTTTTATGTTTATGTTTTCTATGCCTTGTGTTATCTGTGGAATGATAGAATTTTCTGTAGAATCGACATATAGTTAAGGACCGCTTGAGTGCTTTTGATCGTCTTGGTCCGGAAGATCCCCGTTTTAATGTTTTTGCCAATAGGTGATTTTCGTTGAGGAAACTTTATCGCTTACTAAAAAGTTAGAAGCGTAATAGGAAGCCAGATAATGATGGTTTTTGTCCTTTTATTAGATGTTGTAATTAGAAATGGTGGAACATTTATCGAATTTGTGATGTTTCACTTTTAATTTTTGTTTGCCGAGTCCGGATCGGTTCCGGTGGAAGGCACACAATATGGCCTGGCGGAAATTCCCTCCGGGATCGGAAACTCATTACAGTCGTCTTTGACCCCGGCGTCCAAGACCGGCCCTAGAGACTGGATCAAACTGCAAAGAACGAGACTAACTCCAACAAAACTCCCCCGCAACAGACAACGAGCGAATTACGTCTCAAAAGAGACGCGAGTCACAAAGAAAATAACGAAGAATGGGCCATATAAGGTAGTTTTATGTTGGCAAGTTCGACTTCCAATGCAGCGCCGGAACTCGGACGGGCTAACTCCTGGAGTTTCCAAGTTTCGTGCATTTGTTATGTCAGTGGACCTTACACGGCTGATTTATGTGCTCGACGAACAGCCCGATAAAACTTTCGGAAGTTCGATTCCGAACTCGGCGATGTATGTTTTTAAATGAGTTCGATTATTTCGAGTTCAATTTAGTCGAGACGCGAGGCGGACGACTTGTTTTTCTTGTATAATGCCAACTGCTTCTTAAATGAAATCATGGGTTCATACCATCATAATGCTACGATGATTGATGGAGGACTCTATTAACCTTACCCAAAATAAGAAAACATGTGCTCCAAATACTTACGACAGATGGTGTTAACGGGTTACTTCGAATTATCGCCGCGGTAAATTGATCAACGAGCCAACCTCCAGGGCGGCATCGAACTCATCAACCAACAAACCACCCCAACATTCAACACTAGACTCAAAATATTTGTATATCGTTTTTCAAATTTTGGATTTCAACATAATATGTACTTGCGAAAGCATTTTCAAAAAAATATATATACTAATAACAAATTTCTTCATATTATTTAATAAACACAACAAAACCCTTTTTCTGAATTTGAATATAAAAATACTACAGATAGTTTGTCTATACATAAACGTTCGATTGCCGTTATTTAGTTTTGTTATTGTTATTGAAGCGTTTCGCTATTGATAAAAATCTGAGTATTCTGTCCGCCCACTCGTTTCTTTGGTCCATTCAATTTATTCCGCAATTTCACTTACCGGCGATGTCTCAGATTGCTCAGAATCGAGATTGTTGCTGTCATATTCATGTATATTTACGGGTAGGCCAGCGTCGCATTGTGGCGTCAGAAGCTATCAGCCGTCTCCAAGGCCCCTGATTTAAATAAGCCCGGACTAGGGGCGACTCGAGGGAATGGGATTTGGTTTTTGTCGCCAGCCGAAGTTTATATGTCAGTGTCGGCTACAACTACCTAATTTAGACCGATATATTCTCCCCGAATCCTCTGAAATCACGGACATTTTTACCCATCATCCTCGTGACCGGTGAATAACCACGATTTCTATAATTTAGTGGCACAATCCCGCCCAATATGCTGTTGCAAATTTCCATTTTTGACTGGTCTGATCCCCGGTTATAAATGTCTCTGTTGGGGGAGTTTATGTGTTTGAAATAGAGTCGGATTGTGCACTGGACCAGGGTGTGGCTATTTCATATTAAACACACCCTCGGACGAGGGGTGGCCACTGCAAGAAATCGACTCGATTTCGCACAAAATCGCAATACGACTGATAGAAAAATGACATCTGCACTACCCCTCTCTTCAACCCTTTAGACCCCCACTGCGCCCTTTCGAAAATAATATCCGACACTCTATAAGGCCACAAAACCCTTCAACGATCCGATTATTTTTTGTACGGGTTTACCCCCGAATGGGGTGGTTCGTGTATGGAAAAAATCACACTGAAATCTTCATGTCATTATTAGCATCAATAGCTAAAGTGACTCAGGTTTTTTACACACTTTTAAGC